TGTTAGCCACAGGTAACTAATTTCCCCACAACTCCTTAAGACAAAGCTTGGTTTTAATAGATTAATATCATTCAAACTGAAAAAAACCTTGCATATTTAACAACTAGATTGTATATTTGCAAGTGTACAAACTCCGATTGAAATCTACCCAGTACTCTTAACAGAAGTATGTGGGGCAATACCCCCTCCCCATTCAATTTTTTTTTAGCAGGAAGCTAAAGTAAAGCCAGAAACTTTTGGTGACTGTGTGATTGACAAAATTTTGTAGTGTAGCTAGCAATTAACTGTACAGTTATACCTGGAGGACCCAGTGTGTATTTGTCCCAATTCAAGTACCCACAGAAATTATATATAGCAGGAGGGACAGCAAATTTGAAAGTACATTAACCCTTCCAACGCTGTAGACCATAGTGGACACATCTGTATCAATGCATGGCTGAGTCTACTGAAGTTACATAGGGGTTAAAGGGTTAAAGACACCGACAGGTTTTCATTCTGACAGGATTGATTGTGATGATCAGGTAAACTTACCCATTCCCCAGCGACCATTTAGGGTGTTGAGTCTTTCACAGATGATATGGTTCACACAACAGCTTACTCACATGGCAAATCACACTTCATGAAAATTGTGACTTTACAGAATATCCAACCAATATATCGTACATTGATTTACACTTATAGGTCTGTTCCAGAAATAACGGTATGGGAGGGGTGGGAGGCACTTTTTAAGGGAAAACTGATCGAATGGCAGATCTGGTTTAAACCTACCACCCATAATATAATAATGCAGGTGCCTCCCATCTCCCCCATATGATACATTATGGAATAGCCCTTATGACTAATACCGATTTATATATATATTTCATATCATAAAAGAAATAAAAAAATAATTTTGGATTCATAATGAAAATGAAATTGCCAGTTAATTGGTGCCAAGATTGAGGAGTGTCCTGTCTAATGGTGTAAAACTTGCCTTCCTTGTATAATTATGCTACTTAGATCTTGATCAAAGAATTTACAAAATCCTTCAATGGGACTACAAACATCAAAATCTACCATAAAATTTGCAATGTTTTAAAAAAATCTCTTGAACAAACTATCATTCATGATCACCCCTCACAATAATTCACACTTTACAAAAATGTTCAATGCCTTGATAGCTAACTTCTGATAAAGCAGAATCTAAGGGGTACTCTGTTGAATAGTATTCCAATGCATAAGCTTAAGTAAAAGAATTAAGAAACAGTTAAGAAAATAATATAATCAAAATGGTAATTTAAATATATGTTAATGCAATGGAGGAGCATGATTTCATATTTTTTGTCTGCCTATACTTGCCCCCTTTTTAGTTCATCTGAAAACATCTCCATAGCCTTAAATATGGTTTCATTATAAATGTGTAATCATGTAAATATTGGATCAATATATTCAAAACAGTTAACTGTAAAGAAATCGTAACATTAATCGGAATATGTTAACTGTTTCTAGTAGCCTTTATTTACATTGCTGTTTACATTTCTATAGTGTATTGACAAACAAATACAATACACACTGTAGTGATATAAAGCATAGCCCATTTAAAATCCAAAATATGTAAGGGTGGTTGGTTGGCGTAGTGGATCCAGCAGCCCACTTGCCTATTACCAAGACTACCAAGACGACCAGGGTGATCACATGGGTTTTCTTCAGGTACTCCAGTTTCCTCCCACATTAACACCCTCTGCGTGCTAACATCTTGGCCAACAAGAGTGATGAATATAAGTTGAAATGACTTATTTCATAATTGTTGTAAAATAAAGTTACCATGATTATGCGAATACTGATGCCATTTTTAAGGCGAGGTAAAAATAAAAAAGGACTTCTGAGCTTAGTTTGGAATGTTTGAAGATAACGCATAAATGTATATCAATCAAAAAATTTGACAGTCATTCAATGGCTGCAGATTTTTTCAGAATTAAAAAAAGCACACACACACACAAATAGATTTAGTGATAAACATTTTAGTTGTACAGTCAACTTTTGTCTTAAATAAAATACAGGCCTCTGTTGTCGGGCAAGCTAAACGTAATGTACAACACAATGTTATAATTGTTGATACTGTCAAAATTATCAAGTCTTTAATTCTTTTAAGGATTCAAAATTATTTTCACCAGACAAACTGGATAATGTACAATGTATATCAAGCAGAAGTTAATACATTATCTATAGTATTAGGGACCTTGATCTTCAACTCAGGATCCTGGGCAGTTTTTATTAAATCGTAATCCAAAACGGCTGAACCTGTTGGACAGGAGTTGTCCGTTTATTACTAGGTCTGAAATAGGGTAAGACCTATAGTAATTTGATGCTGCTTTCAGGCAAGCTTTAACAGGCCTGCATAAAGTTTTGCAGGTACGCCAGGATTTATACCCGAAAATGTTACATTTAAAAACAGATGAACCGGTTGTTCCGCATAAATAAACAGGTCCCCTGGTACATGAACTTGAACAAAGCAACATGGTACTGAACACCTGTATGATGTCAAAACTTCTGTATGGAGATAGGAGAACTAGATATTACAATTCAATGTGTGATATACAGAGGAATTGTCCCAGGTAAGGATATACAGTATACCCTCCATTCTTCAATTTCTCGTTTGCATACCTATTTTTCTTTTTTTAATGGGCGATATTTTTCTTAATTTGAAAATCTTACTTAATGTTATACAAATGTAAAGAAAGCATGAATCAACAGGGTTTTTGAAAGTCTAACTGTACATACACGAGATGAGTTTGTTTCAAGTCTTTAACGCAGGGATTAGTTGTGTTTCCCTGTATTGAATCTCATGTCAGAGTGGACATGAGATTGGACATGATAGGATATCTACAAAAAGTTGACCTCCTTTTCAAAATTATGAATTATCTATAAAGATTATTTCAACTACACGGGTGTAAATACGTTCTCTAGTCATATAAAATACACTAACATACACAAATACAAATAAATAATGTCTTTATGATATAGATTTAGACAAAGATAACAGAGAAAATGATCATCAATCCATTCGACATCTACATTGTATGATAATATTGTCAGAAAACACATATCATGATTTATGAGAACACACATGACCATATTTCACATTTCTTTTCCAGAACTCTACTATGGCTTAACTTTGACAAAAAAATCTTGGTTAAGAAATGATTAAAATTGATTGATATTACTGTACTTTCTACAAAAGCAAAACAAAGATTGATCAGGTATGTCACCTTCTAAAAATGATTTACCCTAACAGCGAACAAATTCTGTTAATACAATAAATATTTTTTGTAAACGTACTTATTTTAGTGCTTTTCACATTTTCATGCTTTTCTCACTTTTACAAGACTGCTGAAGATAAAACCTAAATATTCCTGGGTGTTAAAGATACCCCAGCTGTTGCCTTGACATATGATACACGTAACTTACATGTAGCTTGAAAACAATCAAAGAAACACCAAAATAAAAGTGATAAGATCAGTATATTCACAGATCGCAAATCTATTATTTCCTAGGCCACATTCGTCCATCGTGATCCAAACGATTAAACCAGTTGGACCAGAGTTGTTCGTTTATGATTTAAGGTCGGACCTAGTAATCTGATGCTGCTTTCAGGCGAGCCTTAACAACCCCTTTCAAGGCCTGCATTAACATTCACAGGTCCACCAGGATTTATACCCGAAAATGTTACATTTAAAAACAAGACAGACTGATTGAACCAGATATGCAAAAGGGGCCCTCATCATCTGCCTAATTTGTATAATAGCGTGCTTTTTTTATAAATAAAATAAGCAGATATTGATAACACAAATACACATAAATTGGTGTGTTATAATTTTGTTATCAGGGTTTTCAGTAGACCCTTGAGAGCATCTGTTTGACTCCCTAAAACGGGCTTCAACTCTTGGGTTGGAAACGACACGTATATTTGACAGGACCCTCAAATATTCAGGGAAAATGTTATTTGACTGCTCAAATTACTAAATGTCACAGGTCTACTGAAAACCCTGTGTGATTTAATTTCAGAAATCTATGTAAACAATGTTACATTACATATTTGAGTTGAAATAGATTATAGGAGCTATCTCTCTTTTAGCAATATACCAAATGGTACAACAAATTTTCTTTCCAACAAATACATGGTCATGAAATCTTCCATTAACTCATAACCCCTCAAGACACATTTGAACTCTTCCAATTCAAAGGTTGGAATAGTTCATTATGAAATTACAGGGTGAATGAGTTAACAATTAATATTTTTTCTGACATTATCTTTGTATATTGCACAAGTAAATGTGTTTTGTTTACACAGTGAAATGCAAATATAGTATTTTACTTCCTCACGATTCAAGCTAAATAGTACAAATACTCAATTTACCCTTTGATGTAAAACTAGATTTATACTACATGTGTATTGGTGATGAGAAATAGTCATAGCAAACACAAAATACTCATGTAAATACGTATCTGCAATTTCTTTTTTTCATTTTTTACTCACAGATGATACATTTATACAAAAGGAGAAAATAAATACTTTCCTGAAAATTTAAGATCCCTGTACCACTGACAAAAATTGAAAATATGCATTCAAAACTTATTTTCCCTGACATGACTATAGCTTAGATCAATATTTTTTTTATAAGAAAAGTGTTCAGGGTGTAAAATATTCTGGGGCAAATCGGGATAAGAATCTGGTAGACACGGTAGTCTAGTGGAAGGATGCCGGGCTGGTGACCGAAGGGTTGCTAGTTCGAGTCACGGCACAGCACTGTGTTGTTTCTTTGAGCAAGATACTTTACTCCGCTTGTTCCAGTCAACTCATCTGTAAATGAGTATGCGGTTGGGAAGTGCTAGAATTGTTGAATGCTAGCTGTTAGCGCCGAAATGGCAGCTCTGGCTGTATGCTCCCCAGGGAGTTGCGAAAGATATTGACTGGTTGCAAAGGCCCTATAATCAAGGATAATAATTTGTGAACCGCTTTGAGATGACCTACGAACTAGGTTGTAACAAAGCGGTATATAAGAACCTCTATTATTATTATTATATACCATCACTGAAATGGATTGAGCTTCTAGCTGGTCAACGGAAGTGTACAAGCCCAACTGTGCTAGTTATATCCAAACGGAAGTTAAGGGGAGGTTATTGTATACAGGAAAAAAAGCAGTGCAGTGGTAAAGGGATGATCTAAAGTTGAACGTTTTTAGCTTGTACAATTACTTATAATTTTGTGGATCTGCTTTTTGTAAAAGAAATATTTTCTGTTGTAAATACAATTTCTATGAAATTATTCAACAAGTATTGCACATATCAGTTTAGTTATATGTGTTGTAAGGCCATTAAATTGAACTCAATCATAATCAAAAAGCTCCTATTTGAAAAAAAATCAATTTTCAGCTCAGATAATTTTCTTTTATAAGCTCATTAACGAAATGTGAAAGTTTCATTTCACTAATCATCTGTGTTTACTTTTGTGTTGTACAGGTAAACAATACAAATTGCTCACTCAGTCATAACTTAACAAAGCCAAAGGGACCAGTACTCAGTCTTGAAACATTGCAACACGTTTAATACATCCATTGTTTGTTTATAAAGTGAAAACTTTGATATCTATGTTTACTTTGTCATAAACAACAACAATGAAAAGAATCAACGTCAATAAACCTAAACTAGACCGATATCCAATAACCTGATATTAATGAAGTGTCAAACAAAATTAATAATGTATAAATTGTATCCAGTATTAAATCTATTGATAAAACGGAGTCAAAACAGGCAATAAAAAATAATTATAAATATACATCATTATGATAGATATATAATTGAAACAATATATAGTACAATTTATTTCTATCCATAAATTCGTCTGTCATATATACTTTCTCTCTCTCTGCTTTTCCCACTCAAATAATTCTGCTACCTCAATCATTTACTTACAGACGTTTGTTTAAATATTCGCTCATTCTATCACAAATGTACTCAACATTTAAATTCGTTTTCACTGTTCAGTACCTACCACAAGCAAACAGCTTGAACTAGATACCACCTCAACATCTTAACAGCTCAACATCACTTGAAGTCGACAGCCCAAGAACTGATATATCTTACGGTGTTAAGCTGGAAATGAGTATGTCCAGACTCACACAAGGTGACCTTGTTCACGCTCACCCATGTGATCCTACGTAACCATAAAATCCATTCAAGTGATGTTGAGAACATTAAGCCATAACACAGTACCCGTTCCTAAACTCTCTTGTGTATGGCTAAAACAGTGTCCTAGATTATGCCATGGAATGACAGAGGATCTCTTGTTGAAGTAAGGGAGAATGATAAGTCAGTCCTTCACACAGCTATTAGACGTAGAATATTCTCACTTTAGATGTACTGACTAGTAGGTCACCATCGAAGAATTTAGTCTCGATCATCACATTTCCACTGAAAATGGAAAATCAGAATGATGCAAAATAATATCTTGAACATTCTCATCAGAACCGTGTTGTCTTCCTTTTAAACAGCGCAGGGTTGAATAAATAATTTCAACATTAACATCATTATCTTCAATTAGTGGGGTATCTTTGCAACAAATACTTATAGATTAACAAAAGACTGACAACACAATCTGTCAAACATATGCTGGTTGTGACTGGCTTGCTTTTCACTTACCGTGAACACCCCCTTGCGGGATAAGACAGACAAGTTGCCAAACACTCCGCTTTCAGAGTGTTTGGCAACTGAGGAATCTTTCCCCGAGGGATTCCCCTATCCTACCCACAAGGGGGTGAATGATTCTTTTTCTCTTACCCTGTTCTCCCAATGTGTATCATATACACAATTTAATGATAACGTTACATGCTAAATTCAGGGTTGACGTGACGTTGATGGATTGTTGACGTGACGTCATTGTATTTTTGAAGTGACATCATATGTATACCATTGTTATTAAAAGGGGAATCCCCCCCGTCTCAACCTTTGGGTGAGACAAAGAAATCCCACACCGGTAAAAGTGTGGCTACACCTGTCCAGGGTAAGAGAATCCCCTATCTCACCCCAAAGGGGTGAGAGTTTCTATTTGTCAACACTAATTGGTACTAGGAGTGGGTGATTTTTTTCTACCATATTACACAAGTGCATTCCAATTGTTCCCTTGGGAAAAGAATAATTTATCTTTTCCTTACTTAGAAAAAAAAACCAGCTCACAGACTCCTACGTGATGTTGACAATCCAACAATCGGGATAAGACATTCAAAGTTTGGCACTTTCTTTCATCATAAAAGCCCAGGGTTTTAAATGAAGCAGTCTCCAAATTTTAGTTATGTATATATGACTTAAAGCAAAGAACCCCAAATATTTACCTAGGACCCCAAATTTTCAATGAAGGGGGTCCCAAGGACTTTCAAAATCAAAATGGGATGAAAGCCTTTTGCTACACCTAAAATGTCTTACATTGAGGTTGAAATCTCTGCCTACGTCAGTGACAGACCAGCCAACACTAGGCGACAGATTGGTGGTGATAGACTTACTTGAGACTACTTGCTGGCATCATCTGGTTCTCCGGGGCAGCCTCTATGATCGACTGCCATGTGTTGGTGGATCCAGGAATGACAAAGCCAAACTCAAAGTACCACTCTGTATAACACAAATACAATCGATCGCGGAAAATAATTACATGTGTTACATTTATTACATAAATTTTCTCTACAGACCCATTAAATTCAATCTCATTCAGAATTATCAGAATCATTAGTTCTATTTTGATACCAAATGTCGGGACTGTTAATTTTGTACAGTTTGTCATGAAATATTAAAAGTTTTTGTATGAAGTATGAGTGTTTTCTGACGATTTGAAAAACAAGGGGGCATTGGCCTTGTAGTGTGATATAGGCAGAATATAGAAATGTATGGGGGATGTACAAAGTACCTCCTTCTGGAGAAAACACTGAAGCATGATGAATACTACCAAGGTCACGCTTCAATGACACTCATTATGTTAATACCCCATTACCATCAAAAAGAAAGGGTCTTTAAGGAATTAGCTTTGTGAGCCCTTATCTCCTGTTTTTATATCCCTGCAACATTAATGGAAAGGGTTTTAAATGTTTTCTTTTCTGTCTGTCTGAACTTTGATAATGAATAGCATGGCAAACACTTACTGCTTTCTTCACTATGTTGCAGAGGCATATAGTATATACATATCAATCCACCGGTGAAGAAGTCATCATCAGAACAATTCCTTTGTCACTTAATGTTTTATTGGGAACCCGAGTCATCTCAAGGGTACAGACCTCAGTGTGTGGTATGTAACACATTGAACAAGGGTTTTTGATGTAACCTTCTGAAATTTGGCTCTGAACAAAAATTTCTGGTTTTAACCAACAACAGATATATTTGCCTGTAAATAAGACATTCTTACCTTTTAGTCTAAAAACTTTTGACCTTAAAAATGATTTCCATTTATATACATTTAATTTATAATTTTTGATGTTACAATTTAGACATTTGCCCTTGAACAACTTCATGTTGTGCCATCACTAAGATCTTTGCCTCAAATGTTCTCATATGACATGCATACCTTCTAGACATTTGCCCTTGAACAAGACTTTCTGCTCCAGTTTAAAGGATTCCATTGCTTCGTGTGATGAGAAGTTGATCTCCCTGGACACTGCTTTACACTTTAAAATCTTCTTTGGTACACGAGCTACAAACAGGAATACCAGTACAATTAACATAAGGTGTGCTGCCACAAAGCTAAATTTGCTGATAGCTGTTATTTTTATCATTGAAATTAAAAATAAGTCATATGAAATGCACATAACTATTTCTGATTTCAAATCACCGGTCACATCATTTTTAATAGAGATTTCTTTTGTAAAAAATACTGTATTGAACATCTGTATAGATCTATAAACTGTGTTGGTTATAACTGTGCAAGTAAAGACTTAAATTGGGGGTTTTTAAAGCTGAATTGGATGACCCCAAAACTTGAAATCCTTTATTTAAACATAGGTCTTTACAGATCAGGTTTAAAGTCTTGGCTCGTGACGTTACAAAGGTCTGATTATACATACTGAAGTGATGTTAACTCATTTTCCCCTGGAGACACATTTGAACTCCTCACATTCAAAGGTTGGAATAGTTCATAATAAAATTTCAGGGGTGAATGAGTAAATTAGATTCATAGCATACAGTGTATATGTTTGAAATACTGCATTCTGTTTTGTAAGGATTATAATTTATTGTAAAAGTTGCCATGTCTCCAGCTTCCACTTACCTTCATGTTCTGCATCAGGTTTGGATCTGTAAATATAATAATTTGCATTTCAATCACAACAGTATAACTCAAACAAGATTGGACTTGGACATAGGACAACTTGGATCAGAACCTGGTCACTTGTCCAAACTATTAATATTTCGTTCAACTTTCAAAAATCGATGTGCCAAATGGTGTTGCAATCTATCTAAGTAACCTTGCTTATAAGAACATAAATACTTCATTTTTAGAGAGTACAACTCATTTAGCAAACAATAAAGGCTTATATAATCTCCCACAAGGCACTCGTTAAAAAAGTACATAATATAATATAGATGAATCAACATGCACTCATTAATATTCATTATACATGTAGTACAAAAATAGCTGAAGATGAATAGACAGATACTTAACAGATGCTTGAGAAAGTCTATACACATAGTATATATACATATGTACGAGTACAAATGAATGATGAATATATTTTCTATTTACTGACACAGGAACAATTCCTTAAATAGTATCTATTCATAGTGTCAATAGATCTAGTGCTTAGATTTACAATGGGTGACTCCACATCTTCTTAATACACTGTAAATATATTTCAAATTCTTTATTGTGTCAATGTAAGCTATATCAGTTAGCTAATCAAGGTTGATGTAAATAAATAAACATTGCCATTAGTAAGAAGAATATATATATGGGATAACTTACAAATCATCAGAAGATTGCCAGAGGATTTTCCCACTGTCTCCATCCCGGAGATTCATCCAGTTTCTAGCGCTGAGTTAAGGCCTATAGTATACAATTAAAAACACAGTGACACTGTACATGTACATTTTACCAGGGATGTAAACATCCACTAGCCTGAACTAGCCTTAACATCTCACCAGTGAATGAGAAAACAACCAGTGATTTTTTCATAGTTTTGTTGGTCATTTTCATAGGTATGATTTTAGGAATTTTGTTTAATGCAAAATTTTGTACAAATTTTTTGGGGAAAAAGTTTCAATGATTATTACCCATTGCATTAATTCACTTGGTATCTCATGATAACAGAATAATCCTATATGTATATGGTTCACCTGCTCTAGAACAATTTGCGTTTGGGACTAGTACTGTATCTCATGCATTTTGTAGGGGTCGCCTCTACTAAAAAAATACATTTTGTATTTTTTAGTAGAGGAGACCCCTTTTTTTTAATATTACAAGTAAAGCGATCCATGCCCCTGTGGCGGTGTCTCCCCTAATATAATAAATTATCTGGAGATATTTTTCATTAGGCCAAAACAAAATTTACTTGTGTTTCCTGAATCATCCTCAGAAAGAAAATAGGGTAGGGTTATTTTTATTTTATTTTGAAAAATATTTGTACAGTACTATTTTATGCTTATAATATATAGAGCAGGAGTTCTGACTTAAACAGTGCTTATCACTTTATAAAATGCCAGTACAAAATCTAGGGTAGGTAGGGTAAACGGAAACCAGAGATTAATGCAGGAATAGAAAGTTAGTGCATTTTTTTTCAAAATAGGGAGGGGGGTTTGGCTGACAACTTTAATTTTTTGTTCTTCCTGTTTATTATAGATACTTTGAATCAGATACTGTAAACAAGGCCAACTATAAACACTTACAGTGTCATAAAATATTGACAGTGAGTACATGAACACAGGGAAAATGAAATAAATTACTTGGTTGTCGAACTGACAGAAATAAAAACACAAAAAAACATGACCGATATTCATGAGGTAGTATTTAAGTTACATGTGGGAGAATTTTTAACTGAAATAGGGGAAAATAATGCCAAAATAAGAGAAGGGAATTGGGCCATTTATAATCAGACATAAAAAAAGGCCTGTATATTTCCATGGAAACGCATGATTTTTTCTTTTGCATTAATTATTCATTAAATGTACAGTAGAATGTGATTAATTTTAAATGGTATATTACAAATAATGGGCTAGTTATCAAATAAGTTAAGTTGATTTAAATTTAAACTGTGCAACATTATAAAATTGGTAATGCACTCTGGCATAAATTGTGTTTGAAACCTGCAAATAGGTCAAAATAATGGGGATTTTTTTCGTTTTACCTGCACAAATTAATGAAGTATCAGGTGACACTCTCAGTCTTCACATGTACAAACGCGATAAAAAATTTGATTCGATTATTAATGTTTTGCAATATCACACTATACACACATTATTAATCAACAAAATCGTTACATGAAGCATTTGCCATTATCACGTGACCTTTAGGATAAAACAGCTATACATACATTCTTTCAGATTGTAATTACTTATGCATGCAGATTTTATCTTAAAAGTGGCTGGCCTAGGTCTATTGTCTGCAAATATATATTGATGATAGCTTAAAATTATTTCGCAATTTGGAAGTGCGGCTGGAATATTTTCCTTAGCAAATATCTCACTTTATCAAAATAAACATGTGTCACCAATTTAAAGTTGACACATTATACCTGTACATTTTAATTGCTTTAATTTTCCATATTAACGCCTCCCTTCCTTTTATCGACATATCGAGTCTTGTAACTGAATTGCCAATGCATATGCTCCAAATTCTAAGTGAACACTACAAATTGAAAGGATACAACTTGAATCCTTGAAGGATTTGATCTGCTGATGAAGGCATCTTCTTCAGGTGACGATAGCAACTTAATTATCTTTGAAATCACGATTTAACGCGTTGACGTTCTAATTTGACACTCTTCTCTAATGTCAACAATCCAATATGGCCGACCAAGCACCTTGTATATTAATGCGCACACCGCAAAATCAAGATCTCCAAAAGGTTTGTTAATAAGTAGACAATATATCAATCTGATAATGCTATACACAACTTACACAATATCGAGACCATGTAGTACTTTGTACATATGATTTACTTCCAGATGAAAAATATGTTGCATCTGTATAATTTTAGAACTATGTTTTTATAAAATGTGAAGCGCTCCGGAACGCGTATGTACACCCAATCTTCGAAGTTGTTTGGTCATTTTGTGAACGATGGACCCTCAACATGGTGAATGAAGGTGTTTCGTACTTTACGAAGAATTGGGCACCCTTTTGGTAAACATTGTAGTGTTTAAATCAGTATGTTTATACATGAGCGCGTAGTTTTCTTCCAAATAACATCAAATTATTTTTTATCCGGAATTGTAACAGGGTCATGAATAACTTTGTTGACAGGTCGCGGATCGGTAGCACAGGTTGTTGACATGTATACAGTAGCTTTATTTATTTTTAATAATGATACAACATTCTGATGGCAATATTATCACACTAAATGTAAGCAACATAGCCTCGTGGACGATTTTACTCCACCTTTCATAATTATTTACAGGATTTCAGACACTTGTTAACGTTATGTAGAGTTGTATGACGGGAGGTGACAAAGTTTACAATGGAGGCGATTCTCACCCTAACATAAGTGTGACAAAACAGTCTTGCAATGAAGACTTATCCTTTAGTGGCAATAAATAACTCACCATAAGAACGTCACCACTAAACGATAATGTACATCTCTCTGCTATTTGAACTCCAAAACAGTCTCTCTTCCTGTCAATTTTGTATTTCCTCTGGAACACTGTTTGGCAGTACAATCAATCCCTAGCTGCAATAACGTAGCTTTCTGACGACGAGACATTTTTTATATATATTGCATGGCAGAGCATAGGCAGGGCATAAATATTAGTTCTATACAATCGCATACACGTTCTAACATACTACTCTTTGTTCACCCCTGCAGACAGGGGATTGAGAAAATATTGTACCACCGTTACCCACAGTCTGCATGTTGTAAGAGGCATCTAGCGTGGGAACTGCACGCTACAGAATTCGGGATACGCTTTTCACTGTAACCTACATAGTTTTTAGCTTTTGGAGATGTCTTGATTGTATTTCATTTACTTATTTGATAATGTTCATCTGGTTGCACTTAAATTGATTAAAAGTCCATTATTTACACATTGATAAGTTATGGCGGTATAGATAATGTTACTCGCACATTATAAATTGACTAACAGTTTTATTTCTATCTGAACACACGTTTAGTATATTTTTATACACATACTATATAAAGTTCACACTTTTTTTATTTGTTCCCGAACAATCTGTAAAAGTATAAATATTTTAAAAACACATGTGGTGTCCATGGTATTAATTGTAAAAACGGGCCCGGAATTTAGACCTGTTGGTAATGAAATGGTAATTATGTTTTGAAGCTGTTCAGGTACATTGCTGTGGCAATCACTTCTGGAAGACTATTCCATACATGTTGTTATTGTTCTGTTACTGAAGACATTTTTGTTTACTTCAAGACGAAACGGTTTCTTGAACAGCTTTATTGGATGCCCCCTGGTCCCCACATTTGATGCCAGTTTACACATATTTTCATGGTCTACATGCATGGTCGATGTTATATAGGATCTTTTAGAGTTCGATGAGGTCTGCTCTCTCCCTTCTATATTCGACTGTAAGCAGTCCCATTTTTTCGTAACCTTTCATTGTATGGTAGGTTTGATATATTTCTATCTGTTTTGTGGCCCTTAATTCTTTGTACATTTTCAATGGAGATTTTCCATTTACGACCACTTGTTTCATGTCACTTACAGTATAGAAAACCCTGTATCCATGTGTACCTGTTATAATTACTTGGGGACACATAAGCGACCAAAATATATCTGCAATGTTATGGATCTTTATATATTCTCTCTATACTTCTTAATAACTGTTTTGCTTCCTTGTGCTTTGCTTAGCAATACCTCAATTTTGGTATTAGTAATGAACATTTGCACAAGTTGGAAAGGCAGTGGGTAACCTGTCCCCAGGCCCAGTCGTTATAATTCCCTACTGAATGTTCAGCTCGAAATAACTTTCTTATTTGAATTTGTTTTTGATGGGGCACAGAACCTCTATACAAAATTATAACACAAAACACTTAGTCAGAAAAAAACACATTTCATATACTGTACAAATGTACCCTTTTGCCTATAGCTACACATAGTAAAATTTTGCATGTGAATACCTCTTCGATTGGCAGAATGTGACCGCCCTATACTGAAACTGTGCCAAAATATAGAGTTGTGGCCCTTTCTTCTCTGAAAATCACTTTGTCATTTATTTCATATACCCTGTAACCTACATACAATCACCAAATTCTATATAGGAGTATGTCTTCCCACTATGCACAGTTTAATGGCATGTTGTACATTCTTAATACCAAAGTTTGTCTTGGGTTGGGGTATAATGGAGAAATATTATTCTGCGACTTCACAATACCTTGCCTTGTTGTATAGGCTGATATTATATACCACAGTGCATTACTTGATATATTTAGAATGAAAGTCATATAAATTAGGTATGAAAATTTGAAACTTGATAAAAAAAACCAAGTATCTTTATACGTATACATACTATCAAGCAATTTTAATGTTATTTCTGATGCAACTTTTCTTTTGCGATCTTTCAAGACATATATTTTTTTTGTCCATCAGAGAATTACATAATCATTTGCTGAAACAAAGATGGCAATGCGAAACCTTGTGGAAGGGGAGTGTGGAGGGGCCAACTCCTTGATGAAGTTGACAAGTCATTTCACTCAGGACAAGGCAATGAGACAGGTATGGTTGAAATTTACAAAAGGTTCATTATTTTATATAGAACACTATACATATCAAGTTTCTTGAGTGTCATAATCTATAGTGCGTGGGGTCTTAAAGTGGGAGGAAACCAGAGTACCTGGAGAAAACCCAGTGCACTTGATAATGATCAGTCAGAAAGATGTTTGTGTATTTTCTTTGTGCTGTTACATTAAACTTAGATGTACATATGTCAATGCTAATAGACTTCATTTGCTTTACTAATATGATCAAACTGAATTCTTAACCATTTCTGTTGAAAAATTCATGTAAGTATTTACGTACTAAGTTGATTGCTGGATACCAGGTTTCTCAGTTGGTTAGAGTTTAGAGGTCAGATATAACAGGGGTAAACGTGAGGCCAGACAAGGATTCAAATCAGAGACTTTTGAACCAAGGGAGCTAACTGGCAATCAACCCAGTCCAGTTCTGCTAAATATATTGAAAATATGTAATATTATATTTTTTCCATATTGGTATAAAGACATCAATGTAAACCAAATAACAATGTGAAAAAGAACATATAAGTTTGTGTTAAAATTCAAATATTTGTTTTTGTTATTTTACAGGAAGGGCTTGTACCTGGTAGACCACCATCACATCTAGGAGTGGTAAGATTTCTACAGTATTACCATGCACACTCTTAGTAATATTGTACCTCTATGACATGTGTGTGGCAGAAATAGTGTAAACACTTATGAGATTAATATATTTAATCCTTCCATTTGATTGGGTGGGTATACGTATATTATCATCCACATCCATTCCATTCCGTCTTGATTCAATGTCATTTCTCAACCCTTTCACCCCTATGTAACTTTAGTAGACTCTACCATGCATTTAATATATGGATTAATCCATTATGGTCCACAGTGGTGAAAGGGTTAACAATCAAACTTAATAAAAACAGTCAAGTACAAGAATTTTTTTAAACAAAGGCCAAATATGAGAATGCCAGGATGAGATAGTATTTCAGGGTTCAAAGGTCAAGGTCAAGATCACTTTAGCTATTTATAGAATATTTTCAAACAATGGCCTAACTTGCATGGAATGTTAAACATTCATGTTTTACAGACATTTTCTAGATATTTATCAAAAATAAGAGGGTAAGAGAACATGGAAAAACACTTGAGAGAATATTTTCTTGCATACTAGACCGAGATATCCGCATTTCTGGCGGTGCTGGAAAATTCTATCCGACCCACAGTTCTGGATCGCTTACACACGCAGGCTGGCTGGGGTCATTGACGTCATTAACAATTGCCAATCCGTGCTGCATATGTAAATGATAAATGTGCAGAAAGTTTACAACTCTACTAGGAGAGCAGCTGTTTTTATGGGTTTTAGGCAAAAAGCAAGAAATAGAATCCATCCCTGATGGGAGGTAAGGATAAGGTTATTCAAACCCTCAGGATAAGATATTCAGCAAAAGACCCTCAGCAAAGCCTCAGGTCTCCAGCTAAATATTTTATCCCTTGGGTTTGAAAAACCTTATCCATACCTCACATCAGGGATAAATTCTAATAATCTGCTTGAGGAATAATTTCCAAAGAGAAATTCTGGAAGAATTGTCTTTGGTAATAAGACAAAGGAATAATTTCCTTGAGGGAGCACACGAGACAGAATTCCTGAAAGAAAATGTTTTGTGGTGAGGCATTGTAAATGATCAATTGAATCTTTGTTATCATTAGTTAGCATATACTGTTATTTTTTTCTTTCTGTCAAATTAATCTGTTAATAAAGTATGGATGTATGTATACGTATTGCTTAAAAATAATCGGTTTTGGTTCTACTTTTACAGGCAAATCGTCCAATCACCGAAATCTCTGAGCATGAGGTAAGTGGTATATGAACTTGAAAGATATTTCTAGATATATTAAGATACTATAATGGAATACTTAAAGTTATAACCATCACAGTACTTAACTTTATGTTAGGTTTTAATAAAATATCAATACATAAGACATATATGTCACCCTGGTAAAATACTAGCCACTTCCTACCGACTCGGCTAGGGAGAATTTATTTTTAGCTCATTCGGTAGAGTGTAAGACTAGTAAACCAGAGGTCCCGGGTTCGACTCCTGTCGAAGACATTGAAAAAAAAATTTCCTTGGTTACTTTTCAAAATATAGTGGCTGGAACATAGGGTGCTTTATTTGTGCAAGGGGCAGGTCCAAGGTCTACGTCGTAAGTACAACTCAGTCAGAATGTTGGAACAGAACATAACAACACTGGTACATACATTCTGAACTGATGACGTCACATACACTGTTTACCAGACGGGACAACACACGTGTATACAGACAGTTGATAGCACTCATTACTAATATACACACACCGGGTTACATATATTTATGTTTGTGAAAGATTGGTTACTGTTATAACTCTTACTGAAACAGAAATGTTAATTATGTAATTTCAAGATATTAATCTATTGAATTTGAATATATTTTTGTTAATACGGTTACAAACCTCACTGACTGTCATAAACCGATACAAACAGTTCAGTCCTATACTTTTCAAGATAAACTATTTAATTTGAATCACCTTTGTTTTTGGAAGATGGTGAATGAGTTTCTGTCGGGTCCACGGACATCCATGGCCCCACAAACGTTCCACATGGGAGGACTACTACAGGAGATGAGGGAGATTGAGGAGGCGGAACTGAAATACGCCCCTCAACGAGGCAAGTGTTACACCATAAATGCTTAGTACAGCTTTAATTTACCCTTGGCATGTAGCATTTTCAGAAGCCGAACAGAATTTTCCTGAATTTTTAGCCTGATTAATGTCAAATAGACCTGTACTTTAAAACCCAAGAGTCCGAGCTAAAAAAATACTCTCGGGAATCTACCAAAAATTCTGTATAGGATATGGAATAGTTGGTTTATTAGGTCACCTGAGCTTTAGCTCAGGTGACCTATTGCTATCCGTTTTCGTCCGTCGTCGTCCGTCGTCCGTTGTCCGTCGTCCGTCGTCCGTCGTACGTCGTCCGTCGTCCGTCGTCCGTTAACATTTTACATTTCAAACTTAAAGTCAAGTTCTGCTGGGCCGATTGAACTGAAAGTTGATAGGAATGATCGCCTCATGGTCCTGACAAAGTGTTGTTATTTTTCGGGTCGATCAGAAATCCAATATGGCCGCCACGGCCGCCATTTTGAAAACCTATTTCAAACTTAAAGTCAAGTTCTGCTGGACCGATTGAACTGAAAGTTGGTAGGAATGATCGCCTCATGGTCCTGACAAAGTGTTGTTATTTTTCGGGTCGATCAGAAATCCAATATGGCCGCCACGGCCGCCATTTTGAAAACCTATTTCAAACTTAAAGTCAAGTTCTGCTGGACCGATTGAACTGAAAGTTGGTAGGAATGATCGCCTCATGGTCCTGACAAAGTGTTGTTATTTTTCGGGTCAATCAGAAATACAATTTGGCTGCCATGGCCGCTATTTTGCTACTAAGTTCTAATAGGCCGATCTCACTTAAAATTGGTCTAGGAATGATCAGCTCATGGTCCTGACAAAGTTAAGTTAACATTATACTATTTTTTACTCAAATTGGTACATATTTCAACAACAAAAATAAATACTATAGACTCAGGTGACCGTTAAGGCCCATGGGCCTCTTGTTAACATAGCAATTAATTTGATGACATTTTGTATTCAGTTGATATCTTTTTGACTCTTGAGCCGTTTTCTATTAAATGGTTGAACCGGTTGGACCACAGTTGTTCGTTTATTATATAAGGTTGGACCTAGTAATCTGATGCTGCTTTCGGGCGAACCTTGACAAAGCCTTCCAAGGTCCATCAGGATTTATACCCAAAAAGGTTTCATTTAAAAAGGGACGTACCGGTTGTTCCGCATAAAGGAACAGGCCCTTGTTAAGACCAATGGTCAATCTTGTGTAAGAGTTCTTTTTTTAATACAAAGTTCTAGGATACCACATATTTATATAAATTGTCAAGTCTGATGGTTAATCTATTTTTTTCGTTTGAGTTCTTAATAGAAAATTTACATTTTAAAAAATGTATAGACTCAAACAAAAAAGATAGGACCATAAATACTTCTTTAAATATAACAACAGGTGTTTCAATTGTAAGACACATGTTATTGATCATCATGCTGAAATACACAGACTTTAAAATGTTTGAATGTTTCCAATACAAACAATGATAGTTTTATTACTTAAACTGTGTGTATGTCAAACAGCCCTAGGAATAGCAGAGTTGGCCTCACAAGATAGTTGGGCCTCTGAGTTTCTGACTGATGGTAAGGAGTCTGGCCACCATGAATGGTCAGATGAGTATATGTCCCAGAAACCAGCGATTCTACCTCCCACAGATGTTAAATGGGCTGAAGACTATCTCGACCAATCCGAGCACAGGCCCTGGTTTGTATTAAATTATCTGTAAAGTCATTAATATACGATAAAAATAATATTATGACTACCTGTTGGCTGTGAGAAACATAGAGTCATTGGCCTGTGAATACATTTTGATAATGGCTGTAGAGCCACTGCACCATGCCAGTTTGGAAGTTAATAGCTGTCAAGCCTCCCTCATTAGGGGGGAGACTCCCTCATTTGACCAATATTTACCAATCTCCCTTGAAACTCCCCTTATTCAAGTCCAAACTCACACAAACTCAATATCTACATTCTGTGGTCAAATGATCTCCTAGTTACTGCAGGTTGTGTGTAATGTATCAGATGAATGCTTTTTGGAATTATTTTAATACATAAAAAGGGAAAGATAAATGGAGCGCAGCATTTTCAGTCACCTTTCACACATTTTCTCCCTCAGTGAACATGTGGAATGAGGGAGATCTCCCTCATTGGAGGTTTCAGGGGTTGACACCTATGGTAGTTGTGATCAGAAATAGGGTCTTGTCTTTAGTGTCTCATAGCTTTTCTTTCTGATTGAATCTCAGAATATCTAATACACCATACACAATTCCGTTTTATGTGAAATGTATGAACCACTGGTATATAATACGCTTCCAAATTGGATCAGAAATTTAAGTTGTTAGGGACTGTAGTTTCTCCCATGGTCAAGTTCGTAACTTTGCCAGTAAAAGAGAGGCGAGAGTTTGTAGTTCTATGGCAGTTACTCAAAGTTTGTACGCATAACAATTGAATGGCATTGTTTCAATGTTCATTCCAAATTTTCGATGTTTAGTGTCTGTAAAGTCATTGTGAACAAGATTTTTGGAACAGCGTAATGTCGTCAAAATGTTTGCTTCTGACAGTTGTCTTACGTTAATGAAGGCAAGAGGAGAAGCTTCAAAATGACCCTGATCAAATAGTGTTCATAGCCCTATGAACCCAAGTTCGTCTGTTCATGCTTATAGAGGAACTCGCAGTGGAAATGTAAATATAACCTTAAGAGGTATGATATCTCCAACTACATTGATTTCTGTGTGTGTTGGCTATCCAGAGCATCTTCCTCTCTTGAATTATTAAGTTAGGATAGGAATACACTGTTATTTAATTGTCTGCATTTTATAAAACTGATGTCTTTACAGGACAGAAGAATTTGAGAAAGAGTTGATATTGGATGATACCAAGTGGGTTGACGATTTCAACACAGAACAGTCCAACGATGCTGAGTTATCTCAGACAGCCAAAGAATTTGTAGGAAGTATCGACGACCCCAAACTTTCTAACTCTGAGGTAAGTTATATATGATACACCGCCAAAAATGTTTCATACTTTACTGAACTCAAGTCTTAAGTGTTGTTGTTTACTTTAAAATCTCAATAATAATAACAATAGCATAACTACATGTTTTCAGGATTTCCTTTCAAGTTTGAAGTAAGAGGCTGAAACCATTTATAGTTATTGAGACCCTTGCTGATTGTTTTGTTGTTTCATGAAGCAAAATTAAAGGAATTTAGACAAACTGTTCCCTGCTTTTTAGTCCTTCTCATTGAGTATATACACAGAATACCCTGTTTTCCTGTCAATCATTTTCTGTACATTCCAAGCATTTCCTTTAACCCAATAGCTACCATCACTTGAATTACCTTGGTCCCTCTTGAAGATCCATTCTCACCTTTTCATTTATGGGATGCTTTTATGCCTAGCATTCATCTCATTTGCTTATGTATGATCTTGATAACCAAACAAAATGGTCAAAAGATACAGATAGTATACATAGTTTCTTCAATATGATTAGCTATAGAAAAATCTCTTGACATAAACTGTATTTCTTTTTTTTTTTCAACAATACTACCTTGATATATTGAAAACCCTTTTGATATTGACAATTTTCTTTGTCATTGATGTCTATTGAACAAAAAAAGGGTATCTAGACAAAACTTTCCCATTTAAAACTTGTCTTATAAGAATGGCGAATTGATAAAATTGAATTGAGTAAGTTCCACCTGACATGGTATACAAATTTGTCCTCAGTTTATGAAGTTTGTGAAGAGGATAGGCGATGGAGAAATAACGATAAAAGATAACGAAGTTGTAGAGAAATCTCCTATGGATCGGGCCGACGATTGGGCCCAGGAGTTTGTGACACATCAGGTACCTCTTCCTTCCCGCTTACCTCGCCACATTTAGCTTCTTTTTTCTTTGTTTCTCCTACACCTTGCCTAGCTCATCCTTTTTGCTTGCCCTGCTCAACTTTTCTTATTTTTCTTTTACAATGAAACTTGAGGCATTTTCATTTCATTACTAAAATGTACTGTGTCTGGAAACTTTTGCCCAGACAGAGTTTTGCCCATTACTGTGGAAATCCTTATTTACCCAGTATTAATTTCACCCTTACATTTAATTACTGTACACATAACAGTGTTTACTCATGTTTGCTGTAGTGATGAATTTGTCCTCATTATGGAGGACAAAAAAGGCGAAAGCTGAACTGTGGTGAACATTTCCCGGTGTACATGACGTTATCCATTTTCTGCATTGTAATCAGACAGATATATTGGTTAGCCTGTGGCCTAAAGTATTCATTGTTATACTCCAAATATTATACATTCAAAATATTTCAATATTTCTGTGGAGGATTTAAAGATTTTTCCAAACCCCCTAGTATTGACTGTTATATTAGTGTATGCATCCATAGGAAAAATCTTTTGTACAAGATATCTCACAAATTTGAAAACAGATTTAGTTTGATGTACACCATTGTGTGATAACCTTGAGTTCTATTCCTGATTAAATTTTGGTGGTTTATAGGTCAAGTTCAAGGGGTCAAAGTTCATACTTGACCAATTAAGGGGGATTGGGTTATATCCGTTAGAGTAACTGCTTAATTCTGTTCTTATCTTTTGGCTTCAGTTGGAATTGAACTGTGTTTGCTTTTCATAGCTCCTTCGATTTCTGTCTTTGTAGATCTCCAATATCCAGTTGTCCTCAACTACTCCCTACCTTCTAGTTTGCTTACACTAATGTCACTCTTTAGCCAAAAAACAAATTATGCATGCTTTAAGTAACATGACTGGAAAAAATAGGGAAGGTTGGTCAGGTTTTTTTTTTTTTTTGGAAGGGGTCCCTGAGGGGTTGATATAAGAAATTACAAAAATGTTAGGTCTTTCAAATAATAAAGGATTTAAAATTGGTTTTGATATACATATATATAGTTGCCTTGGTTGTTTGTCCATCAAATTTGTTTGCATCAGGTGGACAAGTTATCCCAACACTGGATGGAGTGCATCCGAGTGAGATAAAATAGTTAGGGTCAGTCTGAGTACTTGAAACATACATTTGTTTTTTGCGCCTTACAGCATAATACTTCAGTAATTTATATAGTGCAATGTTTTTGTCTCTCTGTATAGGTAGCATTTCTTTTAAATTGTTTATTTGTCAGTGTTTCATTCATTGGCTGTTGATAATTATAGGAAAATATAAGTGTTGTATCTTCTCAATTAGAACTGTGCAAGTAAATTTTCATGTCTTGACTCCTCAAATATTTTTCAGATGTGGAAAATGCAATGTTAGCAATGTTGGTGCAATAGATATTTAACATAGTTAAATTGATTGGGAAACACTAATATGTATTTAACCTTTTCACCCCTAAAGTCAAAATTGAACCATACCATATTAAAGACTGGGCAAGTCCAGTTTGAAAATGTAGGGGAGTGAATGAGTTAAGATAATATATAGCCGCAAAAGAGTGAGTTTAGTTGAAATATTGATTTGAAATATGGAAAAATAAAAATTCTGCCAACATGTTTTTAACTTATACCAATCTACCCTACTTTTTCCGAGGATGATAGTGGAAACACAAGTAATTTTATTTTCTGCCTAATGATTACTGTACGTTTAATCCTGTAGACTGCTGGGAAGTCTGTTGTTGACCAATGGGAGGAAGAGTTTGCAGAGATGGCAGGAAGTAGAAACACATCGGATGAGGACTTCTGGGAAAAATTACAACAACATTGGGAGGACGTGGATAAGTATGTATCTCTATATAAATATCTGCTGTAATATCAGTTCAAAAATTTGAAAGCGGGAGTTAACTTTTCTCATTAGTTAATATGGTATTACAACTTATTAAGGAAAATTATTTTCTTGACTCAAGAATTTACAGAATCATTGTTACTATAACCACTTTATGTTGTTATGACAAAGGAAGTATGAAATACAGTCAAACTTCCATAAATCAAACGTCAAGAATTCAAATTTCTCCATGCGTTAATCATATGGCAAAGTCAGAATTTGTTCCCCGTTGTAAAATACTATTTATATTCAATTTATGAATTATTGGATTTATGAATCAAACATTTATGAGTGGAATTTCTCCCTGTATCAAAACTACTATCAAGGTCAGATCATTAAATAAACATTGAAAATTAAAACTATTGAATGGAAGTAAAAAAAACACCACCCCAGCTATATTGTATATTTGAGTTGTTTGTTTCTGAGTTTGCCTTCAATGGTTCTATGTTAAATGTTTTTATTTGTGTCTACAGAACTAGAGAGGATGGCCATCCTTGGCTGACAGAGTTTGAACAGTCAGAACCATATAAGGTAACACGATCAACTCATTTTTTTTTTTTTTTTACAGATATATTTGATATTTCAGAAAATTACAAAAAAAAGTTTTTAACAGTCAACACATGAATCTGGAGGAGAGATCTTGATGTCAATATGTATGTTCTAACAGAAATCTTGATGTCAATATGTGTGTTCTTACAGAAATCTTGATGTTCTTACAGAAATCTTGATGTCAATATGTCTGTTCTTACAGTAATCTTGATGTCAATATGTGTGTTTTAACAGAAATCTTGATGTCGAAATGTCTGTTCTAACAGAAATCTTGATGTCAATATGTGTGTTCTAACAGAAATATTGATGTCAATATGTGTGTTTTAATAGAAATCTTGATGTCAAAATGTCTGTTCTAACAGAAATCTTGGTGTCAATATGTAAGTTCTAACAGAAATCTTGATTTCGAAATGGCTGTTCTAACAGAAATATTGATGTCAATATGTGTGTTCTAACAGAAATCTTGATGTCAATATGTCTGTTCTAACAGAAATCTTGATGTCAATATGTGTGTTCTTACAGAAATCTTGATGTCAATATGTGTGTTCTTACAGTAATCTTGATGTCAATATTTCTGTTCTAACAGGTATGTCTGTTTTAGTAGTGTAAGTTTGAACATTCTTTGACATTCAGTTTCTCAAATACATAATGACGGAAAATAAATTGACATGGAGTCCCTCATAGACACAAGTTTGATTGCTAATTTGATATTGAGTTGTGAATCTCAGGCCGCATTTAATTTATACCCGAAAATGTTACATTTAAAAATAGACCAACCGGTTGAACCAGATGCAGGAAAGAGGCGAAATACTCAAGGTTGAACAATTGTTCATGGTGAGACTCTCTAATACATGTTTGTTTAATAATTTTACTTTTTGTGCGTCTTTCAGGAATATGATTTTGAAAAAGAAAACCCCCTTCTTGACCACCCAGACCCCTTCCAGGCAGGCAAGGAGAAACTGAATGAGGGAGATATCCCTAACGCTGTCCTGCTGTTTGAGGCAGCTGTTCAGAAAAATGACCAACACATGGAGGTAAGCAAACTTACTAAAAGACTAGAGGAATGATGGGGTAACATTAACATTAGGTAAAAAAATGTATGTTTCAGGTAACATGACTGGAAAAATAGGGTGAGTTGATCAGGATTTGATTCCATCTTACTTTTTTTTAAGGGTAGGGGCTTATTTAAGGACAAATTTAGGAAATTTCAAAAATCACTAAAAACATTTTTTTAGGTCTTTTAAATAATGATATGGGATTTAAATTTGGTTTTGGTTTTGGTACCTGCCTATGAAGTAGGGGGGTATATATATAGTTGCCTCGTTTGTTCCTCCAAGCTATCCCAACACTGGATGGAGTACGTTCAAGTGAAATAAAGTTGTTAGGGTCGGAGGTAAAAACTAAGGTCTGGTACATGAAACGGGTTTTTTTGGCCTTAAGAACCTTATAAAACTCGGTAGACATCAAGTTGAGGAACTCAATGTCTAAGTGCCTTAATTCAGGAACTGAACAACTTTCGATTTTATCCTATCATGCTACTACAAAGCACCTGGATATTGCTGAGTAGCTAGGCAGTGTACATATTTCACACTCCTCGATACTCCAGGGGTTACGCTCACTTCCAGTCTCAGCACCCCTGGACTATATCATAGCAAAATTGAAGGCACACAGTAGGTTATTTGATTGGTTTCAGGTAAAAAATCCCGATCAATCGCTAGGCTGAAACCTGTCCTTTGCAGATTATAGTATTGAGGATAGACAGTACATTGTATCACAGCTGGTATTTAAGAATTGTTCAAAAGATGCATTTCAATCCCTATTGAGCTTATAAGCTATAGGCTTCGTACCACAATGGATTGACTGATAATTCTATACACATTTATTGCATTGCTGAAGTTTTATTTGATTGAATTCTTGTTTTTGCAGGCATGGCAATATCTTGGTACATCACAAGCCGAGAATGAACAGGAACCTGCAGCTATTGCTGCTCTCAAACGGTACCAGCAAATTTAAAAATGGTCAATTAAAAGCTGTTTCTGCTAAACAATTGTAAACCATCATATTTTTTGCTGTTCTCGGGCCTGTTATAAAAAGTTCAGGTAGTCATGAATTATTTTAATATATACCATTTAATGTTAGACTTTCACTTTAAGTCTTCAATTTGTTTCAACGATGACTTTCAGGATAATTATTAATTAGTTTGGCCTGACAAGTAATTGATATGATTTGGACTTTTGTTGTTGACCTCCAGGTGTCTGTCCCTGAGTCCTGACAATTTGACTGCCCTGATGTCCCTGGGTGTGAGCTACACAAACGAGTCCCTTGCCACTCACGCCTGCCACGCCCTGAAGGCCTGGCTGAAACACAACCCCAAATACACGGCCCTGATCCCAGGACAGCTGGATGAGGAACCCAAAGTCTCCTCATATGTGTCGAGGTAGGTCATTGGAAGGTCCTGAAGAAGGAATGTTTTCATTGGCTAGTCCAGAAGGAGGAGATATTTCATTGGTCAGTTTTATTGGAGTTATAACATTATTGTTGATATGTCGCAACAATCACTCTACGTCCTAGCTTTAGAGCTTAGCCCTTCGTCAGGGATTAAATGGTCCTAACCCTTACGTCACCTCCATTTTTGAATACATGAAGTGCTGTAGGAACTGTGTTATAAACATTTATCGTTGATAGGTTTCAATGTCCATTGGGTGGTCTCCTAGAAGTAATGTTTTTATTCTGGTTGTCTAATTGTTGTGGGAAGATTTTCTGCAATTACTACAATTAGTTGGTTTAGCTAAAATGGCAGGAATTGTATTTTTGTTTGTCATAAACATATAGCTAGAAAAGTACGTAGTAGATTTAAAAAACACATTGTCAGAAGATTTCTGAAGTCTGTTGTCAGGTCAGTTTCTGAGGACTGGTTTTATGACAGAAAATGGCCCTACTTCCGAGATGTGAGTGCCGTATGTCAGTCTGTCTATAAAATCTGGAGGGAAGTATCGTATTTGTTGGATGCCTTACAAGAATTACACCACATTACTAGAATCTCAAAATCCAAGATGTCTTCCAGTCAAAGGTCAAGTTTATTGCTGCCAGGAATAGAACATGAATATTATATTGTCAAATTTACATTGTAAGGCTTGTTCTTAATTGCCATTGTTCATTGTCATTATAAATATTAGTTTTTGGATACCATACATTAGACATGCCACAATTCCCAGATTCCAGAATTCAAGATGGCCACAATCCATTGCTTCTGATTGGTCAAGACATATATATAACGACTATAACTGTTATTCTATTGATATGATTGAGTTCATGGTACTTAGTGAATAACACCCTGCAGGTGGGGGATTGGGAAAAGAGTACACCTGCTGTTACCCACTGCATGTATCGTAGGAGGCGACTGATGTGGGAACCCCCTGCAGCATTGGGGACTTTCTTTGGTGTCCTCTATTTTGGGACACAAAACTGACCAAAATAAATCATTGCAATATTTGGGATCTTTATCTTTCTTTCTACTTCTAACTACCTTTTATTTCCTAGTGCTTTGCTTGGCCACACCTCACTTTTGGCCTTAATGTAGAGCATTCACCCAGGTGAGGAAGTCAATGGGGTCCGTCCCCAGGCCGGGACATACCAAAGTCCTTAAAAATGGTAGTTGTTATTCCCTGCTTAATGTTCAGCAATAAGGGGAATGACGACAACTAGTTCACCCGTTGTCAGTATAATGTGACCTTGCGGAATGCTGTGCTTGGTGCCTTCGGCATGGCATTTCAGTGAGTTTGCACCAGAAAGTCGGCATCAGATCTGCGCTATCACAAGGAGGCAAGCACACCAACATTTCCCTGTCTCCTGCATACACACACGCAAGTATGCATACACAACACACATGGAGGCACATCCTTAAATGACCTTATAGCTTTTAATAGGACGTTAAACAAAATAAAACCAAACCAAACTTTAGTGGATAATCTACATGTTGAATAAGGGCTTATATTATCTATATCCATTAAGTCCTGATAACTGACAAAGCTTCTGATCGGGCTATAACTTTCTGGTCTCTTGGTCTGCATTTATCCATATATACTAAGTGACTAAATTTATTATACTTAGTGAATATTCTACTTAGTGAATATTCTACATGGTGAATAAGGGCCTATACTCTTATCAGTGAATATTCTACATGGTGAATAAGGGCCTATACTATTATCAGTGAATATTCTACATGGTGAATAAGGGCCTATACTATTATCAGTGAATATTCTACATGGTGAATAAGAGCCTATACTATTATCTCTATCCGATAGGTCCAGATAGCTGCCGCGACTTCTGATTGGCCGAGACCTTTCAGCTATAACTTCTGTTCTGTTGGTCTGAGTTTATTAAAACTAAGTGGTAGATGGTTCTTTGCAAATAAAAGCTTGTGTAATGCATTGCTGTCCATATTTTGAAATCCAATACTGTTACTGTTGCTTCTGCTTCGCAATCATGGGGAATATGTATGATCAGGCACATGGCAGGGCCCTTGCTGACCTGTCAATGTCCTTGTTTCAAATATGTCTAAATTTTTCTCGCTTCTTCTGATTAAAGTAAGCTTTTTGAGTAGTTAAGTTTTCCCAATCGAAATATCTGTGATAAAAAAACTTTCAAAATTAAAATTATATCGTATTTTGGGCAGAAACACAGCCATACTTAACCCTGAGAGATACGCAGAATTCAGGTGAGCTGCTTTTTAAGACCAGCACATCCAACAAAAATTTATAATCAGATGAAAATTATAACATTAGTCCTCACACTCTGGTGACCTCCGATGACCTCTTAAATGACCTCTTGTGACTAGTGTTTCTGGTAACAAGTAATTAAATCACATTATTGGGAAAACTAGAATGTTACTTACTTACCGAGTAATTAAATCTTGACCAATGAAAAGATACTTTTCAAAAGAAGTAGCGTGAAATAGGAAATATTGAAATACAAACTTGAGAATTTATAAAAATGTGGACAGGTATCCAAACGTTCTGTGTAATAATAATCGCTATAACTGACATCATAATGCATCAGTAGAACCAGCACTGGTCTCCAGAGTGTCATTTGGTTTCAATGAAACAGACTTTAGCACTTAAAAAAGCATAGCTACAGGGGAATGATATGTATGTGCCAGAGTTTCTCCTGTCTCCTAAAAAAAATGAAAATTAGAAAGCAACTAGTTTAGAAAGAATCAGCCAAACTTGATCATTTCTGTCCTCTGCACTGCTTGTTATTTGTTCCAGCAAAGAACACAAACAATCCTTGCCTAACAGTTTAGCTCACCTTGCCTTCAGTAATTGTATTACAATGCTTGTATTTCTCATGGAGGTCCCAAGGGGATCAAACATTGTTGCAAGGAAGAAATAAAAAAAAAAAAGAACATCACTTGTTTAGATACGACGATTTTTGACATTCATTGTGGACACGACTAACGCTGCTTTCCAACAGCTCTTGTATCTCTTGCACAGCATCTCCATCAGTCATCCTTCAGTCCTTTCAGCATTTTCAGTATTTCATATCAGTTCGGTGGCAGAATCTTTGATGGATATTCTGATTATTTTCAGGATATCCACTTTAAACATCAATCTTGTTGTATTGCCACAGAATGACCTATATTTAACAATGTCCATATTACCGATCGAAGCATGAAGGGTTTCTGTTTTTGAACTCATTTTGATAAATCCTTACATCCTTATTATACATATGTATCTAGCTAAGGAGAACATTACAAAGTGTTATTATATATGTTATATATCTATTATATTACAGTGCGGAACACGGAGAAGTAAAGGACTTATATATACAGGCAGCTCGGCTGTTTCCTCAAGATATAGATGCTGATGTGCAGGTATATAAACAAAAGTTGGAGTATAACAGTGATGTACTTGTAACAGGAGAAAGAGAAATGTAAAGGCCAGACTGGGATTCCAACCAAGGATCCCCCGAACCATAGACAGACACTCTACAAATTCAGCTACCGTAGTCATAAACAATTGAGTCTGTCTAGTTCCGCTACATGCATATCACCCAGGGTTTTTACTGAAGAGTTATTTTTGCTTAAGCTGTTGATTGGCCTGTAGATTTTTTTTTTATCGTAATTTTTTTTAACACAATATGGGAGTGTTTGTCCCTCCATCTACTCTTGATTTCCGTAACATAAAATGCTTCACGTGACACACGATTTTAATGAAGCGTGGTAAGACTGAATTCAGTTTGAAGATGAGCACAAACTGTGTGTACCATTTACTAGCGTACAACATTACACTTGGCGAATGATTTCTCCACAAGTTAATTAGATATAACTAGAATCTTATGAAAATGTAGTAATATTTATTTTATACGATGTCATAGTATAGTTTTAAAGTTATTTTCTTATATTACCATTTCCAAGTAAAAGAAATAGGGGTGGCCATGGTGGCCAAGTGGTTAAGGCGTCTGACATTCTGCTACCAATAGCCCTCCACCACTGGGTCGTGGGTTTGAGGCCTATGTGGGGCCCTCCCCAGGTACTGGTCGGTGGTTTTTCTCCGGGAACCACGACTTTACTCCACCATCGAAACCTGGCAGGTCCTTAAATTACCGTAGCTGTTAATAGGACACAAAACACAAACAAACCAAATCCAAGTTATAATTCAATTTTTCGTACATTTTTATACTAGAGTGCACCAGAAGAATTCTAAGTACCCAGTGTTTCACATTGACATTTCACATAGGAAAGGCCTATATATATATTTCTGTACCTACCTGTTTGTGTTGTAGAGCGGCCTGGGAGTGCTGTTTAACCTCAGTGGGGAGTATGACAAGGCTGTGGACTGTTTCTCTGCTGCTCTACAGGTCAGGCCTAAGGTAAGTCTAAAGGACTAGCTGTTTTGTTACATAGCCACTTGATAATTAACGTGAAATTTTTCAATGAAATAATAGTAACTGAGACAAATTTTGTTCAATTGGAAAAGAAAGTATTGAATTAGTGCAAATATTCAGTAAGGGCTGTTCAAGAATTAACCACAGGGGAGGGCTGGGAGGCACTTTTCCAGAGAACCCACCACCGATGAAGTCTTAAAAAGTGATTTAATATAAGGAATGGTAGGCAGGTCTTGCATTTCAACCCAAAACCTATAATATATTAATACAGGTGCCTCCGACCTCCCCCCATACTATAAATTATGGAATAGTTTTAACTGAAATTTTCGTCATCTTTTTTTCTCTGACTAAAATATATTTATGTACAAGCTTATTCCATACTAGAGAATATTTGTTGCTGCAGTACGATAGTGATAAGACTGTTCCTTTACATGTAGGATGCGTTGCTATGGAACAAGCTAGGTGCTACCCTTGCCAACGGTAACCGTAGTGAGGAGGCTGTGGAAGCTTATCATCATGCCCTACAGATAGCGCCTGGCTACATACGGTCACGGTACAACCTTGGGATAGCCTGTATCAACCTAGGAGCTCACAAGTAAGTAGAGGGTATCGTAATATACAGAACAGTGCTGTTATTTTATCATCTGCATGGTAATAACATTTGACAGCAACCCGACTCAGATTTGGAATCAACTTGACTTGGAGCAGAGATTACCCTGGCGGGGGGGGGTTGAGTTAACCTGACCTGAAGCAGGGTTAAACCTGGCTCGGGCAACAGGTTATTAGTGTGCCTGACCAAAAGCAAGGGTTAATGTGGCTTAAGGGGTGAGTTTACCGACTCAGGGCAGGGTTTAACCTGGTTCTAGGGGCAAGTTCATTTGACTCGGGGCAGGGTTTAACCTGGTTCTAGGAACAAGTTCACCTGACTCGGGGCAGGGTTTAACCTGGTTCTAGGGGCAAGTTCACCTGACTCGGGGCAGAGTTTAACCTGGTTCTAGGGGCAAGTTCACTTGACTTGGGGCAGGGTTTAACCTGGTTCTAGGGGCAAGTTCACCTGACTCAGGGCAGGGTTTAAACTGCATCGGATCAGGAAACAACCTGACTGGGAGCAGGGTTAATAATTTAAACTCCCACTGGGCAAGTCCTGGAAACTGGAATTGTGCTCTAAAAGTTTGGCTGTGTATCAGTCCATCACATTTTCTTGTGGACTTGGCCTTACAACCTTTTAGTGTAATGAGCAAAGATGTGTTTATTGTAAAGATATTTGACAGAATTGGACACATTTTATTTATAGTAAATTGATATTTTGTCTTTACAGGGAGGCAGTGGAACATTTCTTGACAGCCTTAAATATGCAGAGTCAAAGCCACGGACTGAAAGATCCACAGTTTGTTATGTCAAAAAACATTTGGAGTACACTACGTATGGCTGTGTCCTTGATGGGGCGACCTGACCTTTATGAAATCTGTGATAAAAATGACTTAGAACGATTGAAACAAGAATTTGGCGTGGGATCTTGATATCAGCAATGCTCAGTGTCAGATGGTATCTGTAGGACTTCTGGGACAAAACACAACGCTCAAGACAGTCTGGAATGTTTGCCAGGAGTCCTACGTCTGATGCTCAGCGACTGAAGGAAAAACTTTGACGATGATGCTGGTGTTTGTTATTATAGTTAGTCAGTTAGTCTGACTGGAACTGTGAAACATCTATGTGTAGATGTTACCGTGGACCTGTGGAACATCTGTGTGTAGATGTTACCATTGATCTGTGGAACATCTGTGTAGATGTTACTGTGGACCTGTGGAACATCTGTGTGTAGATGTTACCGTTAGATGCATGTTACCATTGACCTGTGGAATGGCCATTTATGAATGCTTCAGTTGTTTTAGGACATCATCTCTATTTTAAGTTATAATTGGTTTTAAGAGATAATTATCCAAGACACAATGATAACGAAAAAAAGGTTCATGTTATTTCATTTCATTTTGTTTTTATATGTACTAGTAATTTTCAGGCAGTGATGATGTCTGATCAATTGAGTTATGAAATCTTGCCTGTCAATTAACATGTGTCTTGCTGTCATCATTCACAAAACCGACCTCCCATCACCCTCCCTCCTCCCCACCCCACTACACATTCAGTTGTAACTACCATCTTAATTAAGATTTAACCTAAGAGATATACATGAATATAATATAGAAACAGTTTTGCTGACTACTGGTTTACCTCCCTTTAGATAAATATGAACTTTTGTTTTACAATTATGAAACATTTTTTTTTAACTTATATCAATCATTCTTGTGGACAAAAAATTGTTGAAACTAAATATTTGCATATTTAATTGGAGATCCTGGATTAGTCTTATTATTTGTCAGCTTTGTTTTTTATTATTTTTCGTTTAGACTCTGGACAATCTGTGCTGGGATGCAAATATGATAGCGTTAAATATTAATAATGTTTTAATATCGTGCATTTTCTGAAAAGCATTTTTCAAGATCTCAAAATTTGACACAAGTCCTATACTATTGAAATCTAAGCCTTGTGAAGGAAAATCATGATAAAACAGTATATATGTAGTCAAAATAGGACAAAGGCTAGTCATCTAGTCAATTATGTCAATTTAACACCGTTTTAAGCACTATATGCTTCTTAAGGCGTATCCTTGTAGAATCATCGGTCCGGAAACACAATATTTCCTAGCTAGTGTTCATCATGTCCGAGTCTTTGGTGTTGCCCTGTAAGAAATTCGGTCACAATTTGTGTCAGATTTTGATTTGAATCATCAGGGTCCGGACATCTGAGTTTGTATTGTGTCTGTCCATGTCCAGAGCTTTGTTTGATTGGAATCCTGGTCTGACCTATTGCATTTGTCCACTATCTGACTCACACTTGCAATTGCCTGTATCTACATGTGGTGTTGATAGTTTTTCTGATGCAACTTCTCACATTACAGGTAGATCCTGTATTTCTCATCAGATCAGTATAAAAAAAATATCATATTTTCTTCCTGCAGATCATGAAGACTTCATGTTTTATATATTATGGTATGTTAATTCAAACATTTTAGATTCATAATTCTATACATCTCTTTATAATGCCAAATGTTTACCTGTCAGATGTGGCAGTATAACAAGGTTATGCTGTTTATGTACAGCCCTGTACTTGTTATGTTACCGGTCAGATGTGGCAGTATAACAAAGTTATGCTGTTTATGTACAGCCCTGTACCTGTTATGTTTATTTTAATGTCGGATTTACCTGGTAAAGGTATTGTACATGTATAAGGGCAAGTTTCTAATGTGATCACTATCCAAGAGTTACTTAATTACGATAAACAGTTAAACTTGTGATATTTATGTAGTCTTTGGTAAATGTGGCTAAACTCATATTTGCCAGATGTTTTAAATAATTAACAGCCTCAGCGATTAATTAATTAGAAAAGTAATTAAACACGCTATATTTTTTTGGTAATGAATATGGATATCCAAGATATTTCAAATACCAGTTATTATATTTGATTGATGGTTTTTATTCAGTAATCAGTTTAAAAGGAAAAACATATTTACATGGTAGCATTTAGTGTTGTTTGTCCTTTAATTTGATTCAAATGTGTATGGTAATTTATGAATGAATGAAGTCTACTAAATTTGACAAATTGCAGGTTTTAAAATTCAATTAACTGTCCGAGTGGCCTGATCACATGCTGTGCAGAGGAATACACCTAAATGTTATGTGTATACAAATCATGAATTAATTGAATACAAGTTTATCTTTACCAATGGTGCAGGTGTTTTTTGTATCAATATATTATGTTCAACATTTTCTTACTTTGTCCTTGGATTTCGTAGTTTGTGATCCTCTGTATACATGTATAATGGTTATCGTTCGAGACCTACTTGTAACCACACTGACTGGAGATATGCAAAAGTGACAATCATGTTACAGTCATTATCAGGACATATTTTCATCAACTGAAGTACATAATTAGGCAATCCTGGTCGCTTGGTGCTTTTCCTATGCCTTTTGAAATTATCCATTACTCAAATATGGTTATAACTACTAGAACAAAGGACATTTCAATTTTCTAAACTTCCATTTCAAGATGAAATTAAAAATTGTGAGAGATATATATATATATATATGACATATTTGATTTCATGATCAGCTGACATAACTGACAAAATAGCACAGCCAATGAAACACAGACAGAAGTGTGAATTTTTATCAATTTTTATTTCTGGTCAGTTTATAAGCTTAAGCTATAAAAGATTAAATAAGATGTTCATGAATATTCATAAATGTATCGACCTTAAAACCTTTCCAACCAAAATGTATGTGACTGCTGTTTTTTTTTTAGAGTTTGAAGACATCAAACTTTATACGGAGCTTCATTTAATTTGAAAACTAATATGTATGTGAAACCAACAGGCTGTACAGAAAAAAAAGTTATCAAAGAATTACTTGATCAGACTCGAAAAGAGGAAGGCACTTCCATTAAAACTTGAAGCAGTGTTTTTCTACCTTTTCAGTAATTTCCTTATCTTCTTTTTCAAATAGTAATTTCCTGTCAAGTTCTTAAAATTATTGAGTCATTCAATGACAAATTAATGAATTTTCAAGTTTTCAATGAGTCCATTGAAATTTTGTTACATTTGACTGGCACATATACAAAACGCTGATTACTTGTACTCTTTGACTGGTGTTCAAGTTGCCAACAAGACATGTACAAAAAGTTAGATGTTTGCTCCCAACAGCTTAATGATCCTTGACAGAAAAACTCTCAGAGAGATTGCCCATCCAGTGGGATATCTGGTGTATGTCTGACACATGTATGACCCATCCAGTGGGATATCTGGTGTATGTCTGACACATGTATGACCCATCCAGTGGGATATCTGGTGTATGTCTGACACATGTATGACCCATCCAGTGGGATATCTGGTGTATGTCTGACACATGTATGACCCATCCAGTGGGATATCTGGTGTATGTCTGACACATGTATGACCCATCCAGTGGGATATCTGGTGTATGTCTGACACATGTATGACCCATCCAGTGGGATATCTGGTGTATGTCTGACACATGTATGACCCATCCAGTGGGATATCTGGTGTATGTCTGACACATGTATGACCCATCCAGTGGGATATCTGGTGTATGTCCGACACATGTATGACCCATCCAGTGGGATATCTGGTGTATGTCTGACACATGTATGACCCATCCGGTGGGATATCTGGTGTATGTCCAACACATGTATGACCCATCCAGTGGGATATCTGGTGTATGTCTGACACATGTATGACCCATCCAGTGGGATATCTGGTGTATGTCTGACACATGTATGACCCATCCAGTGGGATATCTGGTGTATGTCCAACACATGTATGACCCATCCAGTGGGATATCTGGTGTATGCCTGACACATGTATGACCCATCCAGTGGGATATCTGGTGTATGTCTGACACATGTATGACCCATCCAGTGGGATATCTGGTGTATGTCCGACACATGTATGATCCATCCAGTGGGATATCTTGTGTATGTCCGACACATGTATGATCCATCCAGTGGGATATCTGGTGTATGTCTGACACATGTATGAATGCATTCTAAAACTAATGTACAAACTTGTATGAGAACTGCTTAACATATTTCTACTTGGTATTCTTCAATAAGTTTCATCAATTGGGAAACAGGTACATGTGATATCAAAGTTTTACTTTATACACAAACAAAGTATGTGTTAAATGTGTCGCAACATTTCAAGACCGACTGGTCCCTTTTTAAAGCTATAACTGAGAGAGAGATTTGCACTGTACAACAATGTGACAAAATTGTATATTCATATCACTTGACCCCAGATGGTGTGCCTCTTGATAAAGAGCGTAAAAACTGGATTGAATATGTACCTGGTAGTGACATAAGAAATATACAATTCTTGTGTATTTTTATCACATCGTTGTACACGTACAATACAAATCACTCACTCCGGCAATAAGCTTGACAAAGGGACCAGTCGGTCTTCAAACATTGCGACACTTACACTGTTTGTGTTTAAAGAAAAAATATTTCTACATCGGTATGTCTTGGTATTTATATGATGATGATAATAATAATAACAAGTGGAATATCAATCTGTAAATAAAATTTGGTCCGGGCTAAAAAAACCTGATGCAAATTGATTACGTAATAAATAGGAATGCAGAGAACTATAACCTATAGCAGAACCCTATTATAAACAGTTTAATAAGGAATGATTAGATTTTCAAATGATTAAATTACCGTTGTACTACCAGGTATGTATATACTGTGTAAACACTCAAAATCATTGAACTATATCTTAAACAGAACATCACAGAAACAAATATCTAACATGCAGCAACACTTATTCTGGTCTCTCCCAACATTTCAAAAAGCCAAGAAGTCACCCCAGCTAGCCAACCTCTGTTGTATGTATAAGAATTTTTACCATTTAACTACTAGTTTGACCTTTATAGAAATAATGTGACCTTTAAATTTATAACAATACTTTCAGATTTTACAGTATCTCAAAGCCAAATTTACTGAGGAAAAGAACATCCATGACTCAAATTAAAACGACCATACAGAGAACACTGTCATAAGGTGACTTGAATATGGAGGTGTCACTAGTACTGTTCAGCAAAGACTGCCAGCTTTGTACATACCATGGTATATTCGTTAAGATCTTGCATGGACTGAACTGCTGAAGCTTAGGTACTTCTTTAGGTGTGTGTATTATATTACCCGACGGAATCGTCCTGTGTCACACATGCTATGTGGCCAAGAAGACCAGCGCTGAATTAAATTTCACATACACATTACCTTTTAGGTCAGAAGCTGGTCAGTTGGGTGCAATTCTGTGAGCCCCGCTCACTTTGTTATTTTGTAAACCTTCACTACAAGTATTGGTTCTTCAAAAACATCAAAAGATCTTGCATGGACTGAACTGCTGAAGCTTAGGTACTTCTTTAGGTGTGTGTATTATATTACCCGACGGAATCGTCCTGTGTCACACATGCTATGTGGCCAAGAAGACCAGCGCTGAATTAAATTTCACATACACATTACCTTTTAGGTCAGAAGCTGATCAGTTGGGTGCAATTCTGTGAGCCCCGCTCACTTTGTTATTTTGTAAACCTTCACTACAAGTATTGGTTCTTCAAAAACATCAAAGTCAGAAAAGATTGTTAAAATATTAAATAAATGCAGATAGGGATAAATTATCACCTTTGCAAAGATAAACTGTCATACCAATAACATGTAAACAGCTCTCAAACCTCGTTCAATTTGCTAATGAAAACAAATATTGTAAAATCAAACATGTGGTTAGCACATCATCATCCATAAATCACAAGATGTTTTTTCAAATACACTGTAATGAACTACCTCTTACCTGGAGTTGACGTCCCCAGTTGTTTCGGTTCATTATAAATTGTTAACATAGCATGAGATACTGTGAAATCCGATATTTTTGGTGGGGCCCAAATTTCGTGGTTTTCCGGAAAAAAAATCCCACCATTTCGTGGGTACATGAATTCGTCGATTATGAGTACACACTCAAATGGAATATTGCATTTCATCATACTTGTATTTAATTTGTGGACCTATGAATTTGTGGATGAAAATTTTCCACGAAATCAACAACAAAAATAAGGGATTTCACAACATTTGTTTTTCTCTTCAATTTACAAAGAGAGAAAATTGCAAATTAGGAATGTTTCTTCTAACAAACTTTTAACAAATTACAACCAGACAAAATACATTCATTTCTATATTTACAAAGTACATATAGTCACAGTATATTTGCAAACAGTAATTAACATTGGTTAAAAATATATAACAAGGGCATAAAATGTAATAATTATATAAATTAAAAGATCAAAATAGTTCCTGTTTTAATAACTCATTGTGGAATGTTTAATGAAAGTGTTGTTCTAAGTTTAAGACTCGAATGATTGGTATGAGGATGGTGGGAGGCTATTTGTCTGGAAATGTACTGATGGATGATTAATTTAAAATACTAGCAAATGTTTCATACACTTTTCAACATAAAGCACAGGTACTAGTCTTGTCTATCACTACACCCCCCCTCATATAATCAAGGTAGCTAGCTCCGTCCCCCTAGTAAAATAACCGTTATAGAAAACATGCCATTTTGTCATAACCGTTCATAGTATCGTGCTGGGAACAGTCTAGATTGACAGGAAAATACTTTTTCTGACCAGCTGACATTCGACCGTTGTTCGATGTTTCATAGGGTCTATCGAAAATTTACTGCATGAGATATGGTAAATCATACATCAAATTAAAGATATTTTCCGGTCGATCTAGACTGCTCCCGGCGTTATACTATGAACAGTTATGACAAAATGGCATGTTATCTGTGAATACTGCAATGCCCTCTTTCGAGTACTCCACGCAGGTCATTTTACTAGGTGGACGGAGTTAGCAACCTTGTTTATATTATGGGTGTATTGACAGAAAAGGCTAGTGTACCTGTCACTGTGCATAAAGTGTGGTGTATTATATATACCTTACAGAAACACGTCTCTCTTTCTTTCCATCTCATACACAGTCCCAAATACATTGTTGTAATAAATCTTCAAAGCAAAGAACGGCATTAAAAATACACTTGCCCAAAAATGTCTACTTGTCCCATTAAAATACACTGAAAAAACCTTTAGTGAAATTGGAGCAAAACTCTGAAAATTGGTTGTCTCAAGTATTGGGCAAGTGGATCCATAACCCTGTAATAATATTGCACAATTAATTAATCACAAGCTTAAAGCTCTAGGGATCTATTGATTTCAGTAAAAACGTATATGATATATATTAATCTCTCAAATGTAAAATTCTGAAGGTTATCAATGAAATTGAACCATACTGTCAATGGCGGATGACAAATACATCAATGTTTAAACACCATATAACTGATTTGTGGAGAGGAAAATGTATCATAAAGTTACTTCATCGTCCCAGTCTTTTTCATGCCATACGGTCATTTAAGATTTTGCTTGAAATGTAAAGCAACGATCTTCAGCCATATATGTATGTAAAAATAACATTACCAGTATGTAAAATGCTACCTGTATATGCATATAAATAACATTGAAGAAATCAGCAGAAAAAAATGGAATGTTAAAATCATGTAAAGATAAAAATTATGATATATGAATGGGTATAATTATAAAATAAATGACATGGGATAAAATTATTCAAACCTCATGAATCCTGCCATTGTGTAAATATGTTGACTTGGTGTAAGATTACCTGGTCTTATTTTCAGCATATACATTAACAGGTGAATTATTTCCACTTCAACCTATCCAACCTCACATAAAAAGTAATAAAAAAGTTCAATTAATAATGATTCTGTAAAACTCAACTTCATGATATTGATCTGTACTATTGTAAACAAAAATTCATCAGAATTTGTTCTTTCTATTCCAACACATCAATATTTGTTGCAATCAAATATTTTACGGACTAAAGACAATGGTCAGTAGTCACTGATAATGTCAAAGCATAAACTACTTTTTTTAATCATAATTAATTACTTTGTTTTTCTGCGAGATCAATTTTGAGTTTATTTGCAAGGAGACAAATTCACAAATTTAAATCTTTGGCAAATCTTTGTTTCATAGATACAAGTAATTACTATCAATATTGAAAATTATTTATGATTTCAAGTATTCGCTAACAAAATCTACCCAGTACATTGGAAAATAAATTATTTAGACCGTAAACATTTCTGATTATCTAAGTTTAATGTCTAGGGGCACCTAGCCAAAGAACAGGATTATCCAAGGGGAGTTTTACACAGTATTATACAAGAAAATCTGGACATTACTCTGATAAAAACCAATAATTTATCTTATCATCACAGAGATAAAAATAGCTTTTACAAGGGGGTAACATACTGGCACCAATTACTGTACCAAAAATGTCCATACATTTTTTCGGAAGAAAAACACTCATTGAAAAAAAAATCTTCTTAAAAACACAAGATGTGACTACATATGTAAACCTGTACCATTCTCTAACTCTCTCGGGTGATATGCAGAACAGATTAAAGAGTTATCTCCCTTCACATCATCACAGTAACGATCATAGCTTTGACCCCCTCATCTCTAAGGGTGGACAGGAGACTTGTCACTGTATGGGTTGTGGTCATCTGGGGAGTCCACCTGGTTGGTTGGGACTGGTTGATCGATGTTCTCGTACTGGCCTCCTGTCGTTGGTGACTGGCCTGCAAATAGGTCAACATCAATGCCTCATTATATTTGGGATTTTTCGGTTATAGACCTATTTATAGGTCCATGGACACAGGAAACCAATACCACAGAACCATGTTTAACAACCAGGGCAACTCGGAAACACATCAATAAATGACAAATAAATGCTAAGTTTGTTTTGTTCACAAACAGTAATTGAAAACTTATATTACGAGCTTTCGAAAACGTCCGTTTCCTTTGTCAAGCAAAGAGTGTGAATGACTGTCTTGACTCTAAACGGCTGAAAATATTTTATTAAGCCACAATGTGCAGAGTCGGTAAATTCAGCTGACAGAAAATATCGAGACATTTCGCCAAATAGCACCGTAATACTACAGGCAGTCCGAGGGACAGGTAAACATTTAACAAATTCAGCCCTTTATTGGATGTTAAAAAAGACAACGGAAAAAGATTGATAACACATTGAAGAAAAAAAGAAAGATAACTTAGATCTATCTAGCACTCAGCTCAAGAAATGGATGATAATTATCAGCAAGTAATTTGACTGATGACCAGACCAAAGTATATATATGTGATCATTGAGGGTCTCAATTATGCCCTCACACCCCAACACTTGCTGGGGGAAGAGATTGTAGGTGTCATAGAAATTGTTGTTCCAAAGCTCCCACAGCCAGAGGCAGACCAAACAAAGTCAGAGGTGATTGAGGTTATAAAAAAGCTAAACTACCAAAGGACAAACTTGATCAGGGGGAAAGAAAGGGTCTTAATGTATTAAGTAACGAAAAGTCCATACTAGCATTTATTTGTCATTGATAGATGTATTACTGAGTTCCAGGCTCAAAAGCTTTGAAATATATGTATATGAATGTTAATTTGAAATTGATTGATTTACTATAGATACAATAGATGAATCATTAACTCTGATAATTCTGAACTATTAACAAGAGGCCCATGGGCCTTAACAGTCACTTGAGTCCTACAGTATTAATTTTTGTTGTTGAAATATGAAGTGGAGATAATGATGTCAATCATCCCTACCAAAATTTGTGTAAAAAAGAGTTAAGTTTAACTTTAAGTGAAATTTGTCAGGACAGTGAGTTGATCATTCAAAGACCGAGTTTCAGTTAATTCGGCCTAAAAGAACTTGATTTTAAGTTTTATTTCCAAAATGGCAGCTTTGATGGACCTGAAATAAAACATTCCTACCAAGTTTTAGTTAAATCGGCCCAGTAGAACTTGACTTTAAGTTTAAAATAGTTATTTAAAATGGCGGCTGTGGCGACCATATTGGATATCTGATCAACCCAAAAAATAACAACACTTTGTCAGGATCATGAGTTGATCATTCCTACCAAGTTTCAGTTAAATCGGCCAAGTAGAACTTAATTGACTTTTAGTTTGAAATAGTTTTTCAAAATGGCGGCCATATTGGATTTCTGATTGACCCGAAAAATAACAACACTTTGTCAGGACCATGAGTTGATCATTCCTACCAAGTTTCAATTTAATCGGCCCAGTAGAACTTTACTTCAAGTTTGAAATAGTGTTTTCAAAATGGCGACCTTCACGGCCATATTGGATTTCTGATCGACCCGAAAAATAACATTCCCATGACGTATCAATAAAATCCTTTGACAGTATTTCAGCTTAAGCTGAAAATGTAAATTGTTAACGGACGAAGTACGATGGACGATGACCGATAGCAATAGGTCACTTAAGCTAAATCGCTCAGGTGACCTAAAAACCAGAAATAATGAGTAAGGTGGCATTTAACCTTAAATCAAATTTTACAGTTTATTCATTCTAAACCTGTTGCGGAAATAGGCATTTTGATGTTTCATGTTTATTGGCAAGAATTGCTCATCTAACTAAGTAAGATAAGATAAGCTTATGCTCTAAAAGGTACAGATCAAAAATCTTAAATTAAGGATTGTGATGTTGCTTACGGACACATTTTATTGTCAAGTTAACAGATAAATGTTTTTGTCTTAGAAAACAACCAAACAGACTTACCAAAGTTGGGGAATCCTGGTATGTTGATGGTGCCGTATTCACCACCCCTGTCCTTGAAAATACGGTACAGCAGGAAGGATGTAAAAGGCTTCACGATCAGGTTCACAATGCTCATCCTGAAGGTCAGTTAAGGTCATGTGACTAAAAATTTCAGAGAGACATGCAAGGGAATGTTTACATGTGTTAAAATATGTGTTCTTTTTGTTGTGTAAACTGATCAAATATAGGACTACCATAAAATTTACTAAATTCAAGTCATCAGATTACATACCAGTAAATCTGTCTTTAGGAACAATTATGTTTAACACCTACTAAGTATCATCAGTGAGGGGAAGCGCATCCTCGATACTCCAGGGGTTACATTCACTTACGCTCTGTACACCCCTGGAATATGTCATGACAAAATCAAAGGCTCAGTTTGCGCCACCTTGTGGATAATGCAAGAAGACTACTTTGATCCTTTGATGTACATCAAAAGAATCCTGCGGTGTCGTAACAGTAAATTGACTGGCTTTGAAGCGGTGTGTGGTTCTTCTATTATGTTCAAAGGACAGGTATCAGCCTAGTGATTGGTCAGGTGTTTTTCTTGAAACTAATCAAACAGCTAGGTGCGAACCTTTTATTTTGCCATGACATATTCCAGGAGTGCAGAGAGCGTAATGTGACACTCCTACTCCCAGGTGTGTAGTCACAATGTGAAACTTGATAATTGAACCGTTCTCATGGCAATGATTGGTGAACCGTTCTCATGGCAATGATTGGTGAACCGTTCTCATGGCAATGATTGGAATTGTTTTCACACAGGAAGTTATGATCAGTTAGAAATCTGAAAGGTAGGCATTCGCGTTCGTCATATGTTTGTTTCTTTCAGGGCCGTTTTTGGAGGGAGCGAGGGGGCAGGGATTGTGCATCAGATATTTTAATTGGTGGTATTTTACTACTATTTCCACTTTTCTTACATAAACGCTATCTTTGATATGTTCCATTTCAATTTTATTCAACTGATTTGAGTTTATCTTTCTTGGCAATACACAACCAGACAAGTTTCAATGTATGTAATAGTTTCCATTCAATGTTAGGTTTATGTTGTGTTAAACGACACAAAAAAGGATACCCTGTGGAAAACCGGAATTCTGACACTGAAAACAAAAATCAAATTTGTAACATCACACATCACATAATATATTATATATTATGCACAAAGAATATGTAAAAAAATAAAAAAATAATTACAGGTACATTCTGTTACAATATAATATCAAGTAGTGGTAAGATGTGCATTCACAGAAGATAATTACATCAGGGGCTACAACTCTTGAATCAATACGTTCGTTACATCAGGGGCTACAACTCTTGAATCAATACGTTCGTTACATCAGGGGCTACAACTCTTGAATCAATACGTTCGTTACATTAGGGGCTACAACTCTTGAATCAATACGTTCGTTACATCAGGGGCTACAACTCTTGAATCAATACGTTCGTTACATCAGGGGCTACAACTCTTGAATCAATACGTTCGTTACATTAGGGGCTACAACTCTTGAATCAATTCATCCGTTACATGTGCTAAGTATCTTATCACACGTACCATTGTGTGCTGTTGTTAAGTTTCATTGAAATACAGCTACCGTAATACTTTAGACATTACATGAAAGGACTATGCTTTTCTATATTAAATATGCAATATATATCAAGGGACCTAACTCTTCATATCAATGGAAAAAAACATAATTCTTACACATGTACAGGTTTATGTATAATTATAATAATAATATACAGCATTTGATATAGTGCCCTATCTAGATAACATAAGCCACTCTAAAGTGCTATACAGTACATAGATATACACCTGCGGGGAAGGCCGGAGTATTAACCACTCGACCGATCCGCCCATGTATACAAAGTTCCATTAAAACTAGTACTTTGGTAGTCCAGACAAATGTATGTCCACAGACAGACAGTAATTACATCAAGAGCTGCAGGTCTTTAGAAAGAGGATAAAACAATGATCGGTTACCCATGCATATGTTCATATGAGAGGTATAATATTTGGCTTTGTTTGGTTGACATCTATCTGATACATGAGAATGGACAATTTCATACCAATCCAGCACTTAGAGGTAGCGAGGATGTGTCTATAGACAGATGGATTGCTGGACAAGACAGACAACAGAGGGATAATATGGTACCCGTCCTATCCCTAACTTACCATTGCAGGGGGTAGTAAAAACACTTATAGGACATGTTCAGAAACAAGACTTTTACCTTTAAAAATAAGAAGTATTGAATTTTGTATGTTGGCCAGTTACAAAATATTTACAGATTAAATTACTTTCAGATATTTCATACATGTACGGTACATACCTCTTTTACTGTTGGGCCTTTCAAAGGCATCGTAGGCCAGAGGCTGGTGTATGGCTATAAAGATGATGTCTTGAAGGATACTGATGAGGTGCAAAATCAAGAACTGGAAAAGAAATCATCAAGAAATTCTATTATGTGATGTCATCAGAGTATATACATTGCAACAATTAATGTACCTTTTTTATGATTAGCGGACTTGAGCACAACATTAACTTCCATGGAAATGTTTCATTGAACAATATATTTTTCTGGATTTTTGATGCGTCACGATCTGAATATTAGTGTATACCGCTTCAGTTGAAACGTCTGTGAGACGTCGTTCAATTCATTGGCTGATCTCTAATCCCTCAACCAATCGGCTGCGAGGATGCAATTTTCACAAAGTATTCATAACAAGAGGCCCAATGACCCTGCATCGCTCAACTGGTATTAATCTCACACTTGTTATCTTAAAAGTGGACTAAAATACAGCTACAGACAGAAAGAATATCAGTGTTTGATTCATAAGAACCTATTAAAAGATTTAAACATATGACGCCTGTGACCTTGAATGTCGAACAAGGACATAAGGTTGAAAGTGGGTCAAGGTCATTTATTTGAACAAACTTGGAAGTCCTTCATCCCAGCATGCTACAGGTTTTAATTTCAGTACCCTAGACCTTTTGGTTATTGAGAAGAAGTGGTGTAAAGAATTTACGACATTTGACCCCTGTGACCTTGAAAGTGGGTCAAGGTCATTCATTTGAACAAACTTGGTAGCCCTTTATCCCAGCATGCTACAGGCCCAATATCAGTACCCTGGGCCTTTTGGTTATTGAGAAAAAGTTGTTTGAAGATTATTAGACATCTGACCCCGATGACCTTAAAAGTGGGTCAAGGTCATTCATTTGAACCAACTTGGTAGCCCTTCATCCCAGCATGCTACAGGCCTAATATCAGTACCCTGGGCCTTTTGGTTATGGTAGTAGAGTACAGTAGAGGGTTGTGGCCATGGGTGATATTTTTGTTAAATGGCTAACCCCTGTATAATGATATGAAAAAAAAATATAAAAATAAAACTGTACTAAAATTGGTATAAGCATGATGAAGTGGGCTATGTGAGCTTCACATTTGTAAAAAAGAAAGAAGATTTCTTTGGTTCGAGAATAAAATTTTGGCCATAATACGAAAGGGTGCGTACACATGAAAAGCTAGCTTTACAGGAGGTAAAATTTTGACAACAGCACACGACGCAAAATTGCAAAAAATCAAGTTTAACAATTTTACTGCGACTCAGATAATTCTGCAACCAGGTAGGTAATCTTTAATTTCAGACAGAGCTTAGGAAAAAAATTACTACTTGCGGGGGTCAAATTTTGGGTTAAAAATAGCATTTTTTGGTAATTTTTGATGTGGTAACCATGGTTTTCACACAAGTGACATACATAGAAAAAAGAGGTTTATACACTTCTCAGTGCTTTATATGTATTGTAAATGTAATGCAGTTTACAAATATATATACATGTGTTGTGTAGGGTAAATCCGCTGTGTTTACATTTCCTCGACATGTGCCTTGTTTATCAGAGTTGGGCCATTTCTACTGTATTCTGCTACCTATTGAGAAGAAGTTGCATGAAGATTATTAGACATCTGACCCCAGTGACCTTGAAAGTGGGTCAAGGTCATTCATTTGAACCAACTTGGTAACCCTTCATCCCAGCATGCTACAGGCCCAATATCAGAACCCTGGGCCTTTTGGTTATCAAGAAGAAGTTGTTTGAAGATTTTAAGACATTTTCCCCCTGTGACCTTGAAAGTGGGTCAAGGTCATTCATTTGAACCAACTTGGTAGCCCTTTATACCAGCATGCTACTGCCCAAATATCATCAGCCTGGGCCTCATTGTTATTGAGAAGAAGTTATTTAAAGTAAAAAGTTGAGGCCGGACATAGCCATAATCTCACTTGGCCCCAACAAAATGGCCGACTGCTGTAATGAAATGAAGATTTGTGATGCTCCGACAAGCTTCAAATCAAAAGTGGGGAAACACTGCAGGTTTCCGTGTATCGACGGCTTATAAATCACATTTTGTTTATATTTCAAAATAAAGGTGTATCGAATCGAAATAATCGAATAGTGAAACAAATATCGAGATAAGTATCGAATTGTGGGTAAAGTGTATCGTGACAGCTCTATGCAATATACCGGTATACTGTCACAGCACTAGTGTTGATGCTCCATCACTTACCTACTTATTTATATATGCATATCAAAATAATACAAGCTGAGAACACGCAGAAATTAAGTTATGAAAGTCTCCTAGTATTTACACTTTTTAATGATTTACATGTAGCCTGAAATTAATATGCTGGCCATTAAGATATTGCATAATTACTATCGAATTCCTATCGAATTCCTATTGTTTGGCTCCTAGGTATACCCTGAGCCCTCTGACCACACCGTAAGTTCACTTCCTGTTGGGGCAGGTGAGCAAATCATAAGCCACATTAACCATAAGTAAGGAAATGTATTTAATACCATGAGAATAGCATCAGCTGACTCCGGACAGGCAATGCCCCACACTCCCAGCATCAAGATAAACAGGTTCATTGCCCAGTAGGCTGGGGGCAGGTAGCCCTCCATCATGGACGCCCTACAATGTAGAATGATTAGAATATAATTACAATGTAGGAACTCTGAATTATCATATCAATGATCCATTTTGTTTGCTTGGGTTTATAAGTCTTTGCAACATGAGGAGTGTGTCCTCTGATGGTTGAATACAAAAGTCACATAGTGTCACCACAATGAGGTTTATTTCTGCTTGTATCACCATTATAAGACCAGAACAAATCTTCAGTTGGTTTGTTTGTGTTTTACGTCCTATTAACAGCTATAGTCATTAATTAACACTTGTCACAAATGCATGGCAACAAGACTTAAGCGCAATAAAATTCTTGATCAAACATTTAAAGGCTGTCAGCATTTTAAACAGAGTTAAAAATAAATTTGACATTAAGCCAAATTCAGGGAATCCTCACTGCTGGCCTGTACATCTCTATTATCTTTTATAAGAAAACATGAAATACCTTCCTTCAGCATTCCAACAGTGGATTTTAAAAGAAATATCCAACTTTGGAATTTAAAAAAAAGCACCATAAAATGATGACATTGCTTAAACATTGAGGTTATATATGCACTACCGGTATATTAAATACAACCAGAAAGTATTATTACCACAAAACTTTAAACGTGACACATTATGTGAATCAGAAGGAAGTAACTTACCATATCACCAAGACAAAGTGTACGATGATAATTGCCTGAAATATAAAAATAATGTGAACTTATCTTGTATACATATAGGCGGGCATAATATATAAATTCACAAATTCTACCACAATTGTACCATATACATGTATATGATGTTTAATCAAGGCCAATATAAATTAGCTCCTTGCAGGTGAAAAGTGATTATTTTTCAATACAAGGGGATTTTTTAACATTAAAGTAAACTGCAACAATAAACCCTTCAATAGTTTTACCCGAAACTCGAATCCGCTGATTTATTATTTCCCCCTTTTTTTATCGGAAATTAAACATCATCTGTTGTGTAAAGAAATGGCACTTTTTCATAACCCTGTTTTACTGTTTGTGTATCTACCATCATATAAAGGCCATACAAGGATATTGCTATATATATATATATATAGTTACTATAAGTACTCCTGTCCAGTTTAATTGACTCTCAAAATTACAATTTCATTTTGATGTTGAAGATTCTCAATTCTCCCACCCTTCACAGGTGTGTCTCCTGTTTTAGCCGGGAAAGATCAGCTTTGACGTCGTCAAAAGTGAATGACGATATTCATACCCCACATGTCTTTTTGTTTACAAACTTGGTGGGTTATTGTTGGTGGGGCTGTGACTGAAATAATAGGATGGGAGAAAAATATTCATCCCCTACCTTGAGGGTGTGACAGAGAAATCTCCAACCCGAGGGGTGATGTTTTTCGGTTGTCTAACCCGAGGCTCTATCGAGGGTTAGACAACCAGAAAAATCACCCTGAGGGTTGGAGATTCTCTGTTACACCCTCAAGGTAAGGTAAGATTCTATTATCTATTAGTAGAAGCCACAGGAAAATCCCCGAGTCTGCAGAGGGTTCCACGTTAGCCACCTCTTACAACATGCAATGATATATATACAGCAAGTCTATTCTTTCCCTAAATCTGCACAGGATACTTTGAAAATGAGAGGTGTGAAGCGGGGCTTGGCCAAGTGACTGCTGGTGAAAAGCTTAAGGTAGCTCTGCTTGTAACAGCAACAATCTAGAGCTTGAATTTGAATCCCAGTCTTGCTGTCATGTATTTTTGACAGGTGCTTATAGTATATAGAATTAGTCGGCTTCCTTCTAGTTTCACACTAGTGGACAGTCCCCTTTAATTTGCTCTACTAGTAGAGCGCAGACTTGGATACTTGGGGTCACTAGTTCAGTCCTCAATGGAAGCACACTACTTTCTTTCCTGTTACAAATGGTGACCTTGGCAATCTATGTGGTGGCAGGCACTATAGGCAGTTAGATCCTGGGTTGTTACGTAGGGGTTCAAGGGGCAAACACATTTAACAAGTGGGGACGTAGTGTGGCAGGTTTTAATTGTATAAGGTTATCATGGTTGCCTTCTAGCTTTAAGCTAGTCAGGATTTCCCTTTAGCTCAACTGGTAGAACTGGGATACTAGTGGTCATGTGTTGATCTGTCTGGTGGAAGCACATGCCACTACAGCTCTTTCCTGTTACACATCTGTTGTCTCCTGTTTCATGTGTAGTACTTTTGTTTTGTTGTCTTACAATTGTTTTTAAAAAAATGCAATCAATGTAGTTATTTGTATATTTTTCATCATTACTAGACTTATGTGAGTGAACACGTCTATCAATATTCTATTAAATCATATAATTAGTAAACTTTCGTATGAAATTTACCATAGCAATTAGGGATGACAGCAGTTGACATTATGTACCAGCATACTTACGGTATGAAATACCATTACATACACCTATCAACGTTAAATGTTACTATTGATCCATTGTATATAACATACGAATGATACGGGTAAAATCAATAACAAGTCTATTTTGCACGAATGTGACAGTCATCACACACATTTCGGGTTGTTTCTTTGCAAAAGTTCTTTTAAATGCATCCATAAACGTCCTAACATATCTTGTGTTTACCTTCAAAGAAACACTCGGAGGGTTCATGGTGAAGTATAGGAGTCAGGTGAAAATGTCAACCTTTTTTGCCAGAACTATACTCTTCCTCAGCCGGAGTCGTCAGCATCACGAGCACCTGTTACTGTGGAATTCTCTAGACTTTTCATAGTCTTTCTACAATCACAAATAGAAACCTTCCGAAGTATATTTACTACTCTCAAACTCACGATATCTATCTGTTTAATATAAACGAATGAAATCTTATTTTAAAATATGTATACCTGTTAGGTGATTTAAGTAAAGACATTCTCATTGTGATAGTTTAGATCTGTTTTTCTCTTTATGTAAACGAATGAAATATTTTGCCGAAATTTAGAGAGTAATGGAAACATGGCTGCGCCCTTGATGCAGAGCAGATGACTTGTAAAGAAATCAATGACATCCGCTATCTGGTATTTATTTACTTTAATTATACAGAACACGGTAACCTTACTGCCAACCCTCTGATTTTCAAATCTATGACATGCATCAGGAACGCGCATTTATCAATACTTTACATGGTGATCAAGTGATAGACACTGAAACTTGCAGCAGTCAACCAACAGTTCTTTTACGGAACATTTTCTTAATATCCCAGTTAGACACACAAGGACCTCAGAGTTGGTTACAGCTATATTTGGACCTAAACTAGTGTGCTCATAGTAATTTTACACGTTTTGGGGGGGGGGGGGGGGTTTAGATCAATTTTCGGTAAGAATGCAAATCCCATTGATGATATAATCGACCCCTTGCAAAGTAATTTTTCTGAAAATAAAGCCTGTTTTGTGTATTAGTGATGGAAATCTGGAATAAAATGTGAAATAAAACACTAACTATCATTATATGCAAATAGAGAAAGTAAATTTGTGTAACAGAAGTTATTCTATTATAAACACAATGCTGTGTTCTACACATGTACAGTAAATATTTTCATATTTAAATTTGTGTAACAGATGGTGCTTTGCACACGTTGAACTTGAATATATATTAGCACATTATTAAAACATAGATCATCTAATATTTAGAAAAAAGTGCTAGGCGCTTTAATTTCTATAGACTCTGCTGATTTGGAAACTTAAGCTCATTTGGTTGAAGAAATTGATGATCAATATGGTACAGAAGAAAGTCTTGCATTATAGGACAAGGGAAAATATCTCTTACGGTCATAATTTTTTGACTGTGAATATAGGTATACATCAATGTGTAGCGATTGTGCAGAATTTCATATCTTTGTGTAACATTTTCTATATACATGATAAAATAGTCATTGTATAATAATACTATTGTATTTTTCACAGAACTGTGTCAAGCAAGATGGCCGCAAGAGCAATCATATCTGTTGGTAGGCTGTGTAGCAAACTGAGACGAGTGTCCATAGCAACCAGCTGTAAACATGGACACGCAGCATCCATGTCAACCCACACAGCAGGTATACTGTTACACATTATGTTAATACTTACATATTACTACTGTCTGCCTTTGATCTGTCACAGCTGATATTATCAACAAATGTAAATGCAGTAGTATACATACTTAATTATAAATCCAACATAATGTTGGTGTTATAAAGAGGTTTGGCAATATTAATCAGATTTGTTTTGAAAAAGAAACAAAAAAAAAACACACATCAAATATAGGCATTTATTGTTCATTCATTGTCATACCAATTGCAAATAAAATATACTTTCCTGAGAAGTATAATAATTCCTGTAGAGCTATCAAAGTCCAATATCCATAGATTGTACTTGCTTGGGAGATCTTCTATGCTTAATTCATCAACACAGTATAATATGTGTAGGCTTAGCAGTTAAACTCTTTTAGTGTGTTTGGTGTGTACACCTGTAATCAATTATCACTTGTATCCCCAAGGTCAAGATCACAGCAGCGGGTCAAAGTTCAAATAATCGTAATGCATGTTTGGACCATGACTTTTGAACCATCTGTAACCAGGCTTCCCCCAAGAACAAGTTCACCGCAGAGGTCAAATGTTGAATTACTGCAATGCTTGTACATGGACTATAACTTTTGAACTACTGAACATTATTTCATGAAACTATGTATTTTGATATAAAGACTGTGTCAAGCAATGTACACAGATCTGTACAACACCTCAGGATCTGTAGGTCAAGGCCATCGAAAGGCTGCTGTATTTATGTTACTCTGTTTATGACTTGTTAGATGTACATGAATACACTCACAAGGCTGTACACTAAAGGTCAAGGACACATGATCAGAAGAAACTTCACAGATGAATGTTTTACCAACCAATTCTAGAATCGTCTCCCCTTTTACCTGTTCTAGGTTTCTCTATCACACTTGAGGCTAGGGTGTCCCAATCACCCGATAGTCTATGACAGCACAATTACATGACGTCATAACACATTTGAAGGAACAATAAACTTTGAGATTACAACTAGCTTTCTACAGGAGAGAACATATAAACAGGAAATAAACAAGATTATAACTGCTGATAACCATTGTTTAGGACAAATTATTGAGAAAAAAGAATCAACCCCTCCCGTGAGTGTATTCTAGAGAAATCTAAACCCTCGGGGCAACATTTTTGAATGTCTAACCCTCAGCATCAAGCAGGAATTGAGTTAGATTATTAAGAATATCAACACTTGGGTTGAAATTTCTCTGTCATACCTTAAAGACTGAGAAATATTATATTTACTATGACAAGACAGCATGTTGTATATATATATCACATTACACTCTAAGTCAGAGAGATCAGTTTGGGTTATTTCTTTGTGAGCACCTGCTGAAGTTTTCAAAACTTTTCTAATCTTGTTCATCAATGTTTTAGCTAATAGTCATGTCTCATAATGCTTCTGTCAGCAAATGAGTTTTTCTTCCATATATATACTGTTTATAAAATATCAAATTTGAGAAATGCTATACCGTCTAGTTTCACTTTATAATAAAGGTTTGCAAAAGTTATGTTCACTAAATATTGATAAAAATACGATTCAGTCACAGTGATGGATCTTACAAAAATGCAGCACTTCATTTGATGGTCTCAAAATTCAAAAGAAAACAAAATGGTATATTTTATCCGTGTGATGAAAGTTTTGCTTTAATAGAGAATTTTATTTCCAGGTTTTCATCCTCCAACTGGTCCAGGATTGCCACCAGGAGTATTTCTCGACGTAAAGGAACATGCAGCATCTGACTCGGGTACCAGGAGTGCTTTGAATTCTGTGTCTCAGGGATTAGACATCGAGTATAAATGCCCATCACTTCGTCTGGTAGAAGTGGCCATTCTTGACATTACCAACACAACCACTACTAGTTACGATTGTCCAAATTTAACATCTATCATAGAAAAAGAAATAATTTTGCCAAGTTCTTCCTCAGCTGATCAAATTGAAATGCCAACTTCAAATACAAATGATGTAGCAAAACAAGCTAAAAATATCCTTAAGATCAGGAAACGAATGAGAAAGAAGCACAAGTTGAGAAAGTGGAGAAAATTGCGAGAATCAGAGATTAGAAAAGAATTATTATATAAGTTGAAGAAACGAGAGGCAAGACGTGAGCAACACTTAGAAAGCGTTAGGAGTAAAGGCGAGGTGTTTGATGCTAACACTTTTATGGAGAATATAATCCAACAAGCTCGGCGTGGTGGATACAGGACAAATCTATTTGAGGAGAAAAAGGAATTGTAGTAACTAGGTCTTCTGTATGTGTGGGTTTAAATTCCAAGACATAAACAGTTTGAATGATTAAAGACAAGTATATATGGAATAACAAATACAGTAAAATCACTTTATTTGTGTAAACACATTATTTATCAAGCAATAAGCCCAAGCCTGGTGATAAGCCCACCTATGTATATCTGTTGCAGCTCAATAGAAATGCCAAAATTATGCTTTTTCATTGTCCTGTAATAAGATGTTTTCCTACTTTGAGTCAAGATATTATGTGTGACCCCCTAGGCTTATTGCAGGATGAATAAAATCTTATTTACATAATTTGTGAGGTTTTGGATATGCAAAATGAATAACCACTTGGTTTCTTGTTGAATTGTGTCTAAATGATGATCTGAACAATGTTTGAATTTTGTGATAATTTTTCGTTGAAAATTAATGCGAAAATATCTTCATAACGAATTACAAGTAACAGTATTGCCATTGGTTAAGAATTTATTGTAAGTTTGCTGCACATCTTTGTATAACTCATGAGGTTACAAACTTTCATATATATGGTGGCTGAATGGTTAAATTATAGAAATTTGGTCTATCCAGTCATTGATAGATATAAATGTATCCCCCCACAGAGTACATGATATGCATAGTTGCCAAGATTGAAAGTTGTATTCTTGTGTAATAGTTTGTAGGAAATTGAAACGTCATCTTTGTAAATCAGAAGAAAAAATTATGAAAGTTGTGCATTAAATGTATATTGTGCACATGTTGTTTCCTTGTATGAAGTAAAGAAGTGGGCTGGAGTTAATGTTGGTGTTGTGCTTTCTTTTGAAATGTTTTATTACATTTAATATCAGGGATGTACAATTTCATATTTGAAATACTGACCTTGAGGCAGTTTTTACAAAATGCTACTAATCTGCACAATGTTTTCATGGAAAATACTGACATTTTTCACTAGCACCGACATATAATCTACTGAGCCCCTGGTGTCCGGCAGGTGGAATTGTACATCGCTGATAATGGTATACGTTTGAAAATTATTGTAAAATATGACATGATTAGTGTGCATTATATTGTACAACTCGTCTGCATATCCTGGTTTCGGATTAGATCAAAGTCATGTTTTTATCATTGACTCATTCGACCCTGAAATTTCATAATGCACTATTCCAACCTTTGAATTGGAAGGGTCCAAATGTGTCTTCAGGGGTTAAGTTAAGACGTAAATTAGTAAAGGCCAAGAGAAGATCAAGACGCTCAAACACTCAATTCAGTGGTTGTAGAGATCAAAAGAAAATACAGTGACTTTACATGTACATAAAGTTATTTAAAAAGTCTGCATATTGAGAAGGCTTCAGGAATTTTGAGAAAATTTGGTATGAAGCATCTCTGGGACATGGAAACCAATTCATTGATGATGTATAAAACACTGATGTTTGTGGAAAAATAGGAGTATTCTTTAAAGATTCCTCCTGAAGTACATGTTAAGCATATACAACTTCTTGCTCCAGTTAAATTCAATGTTGTATACATGAAGGGTATGGTGGTGGAGACTTGTTTGTGAATAAGGAGGAAATTGTAGTAAAGTTATAAAATACTACCCCTCAAAATAGGTTTACATTGATTTTCACTCTTTTGCAGCTACAAGACAAGTTTACTTTCAAAGTAACCTTTCTCAGGTTTTGTCTTAAATTACAAGAAATAAGGAAGTAATATGTGTCCGGAACCGGAAGAAACTTTTATTCATAAAATTAGCTTCCCAACTTTTAACCAATCGGAGCGAAGTGTTGTCCAATGCATCAAAGGGAATACTGCCACTAGTGCTCGCTAGAAGACGTAGACTTTGGAGCACAGATAGTAAAGGTGGCGACAATGACTCGAATGACCTGTTGTTTGTGTCAAAAATAGAGTGAGGGGCACAGATGTCTATTGAACTTTGTGTTGCATCTAATTGACATCAGCATGAACCCGTCTAAAGGTATAGGAAGGCTACGGGAAGTACAGGTGTCTGCCTTTGGTTGTACATGTGTACCTCATTAATTTTGTGATTTAAGTTTTGGAGTGAAAACCATCAATCAGATTGAAGGATTGTCTACCTTAAATAGCCTTGACTTTCAACATAATGACATGGACAAAGATGTGCTCCTATCTTTTGTAAGTGGCTTTCTTGGAATTACAATTTCTAAAGATATAGTTGATGTGTTTTTCTCAAATTTTATGTGTTTGGGTTCCCCTTGGTTCTTGACTGCACACTTTTCATTTTGCAACTGATCAGAGCAACATGGCTGGCAGGTGGCCGTCCTGGATTATTTAACTTAAGTTTGTTGTTGCTATTTTGCAGAAAGGTCTAGACTCTAGTGCAGTCTTTCTCAAATTTCACATGAGGGTGTTTTGGTTCTTGATTATGTATTTTCAATTTAGAGAGAGAACGAAATGGCTACAACATTGAAGTTTGACAGAACTAAAATTTGTTTCTATTATTTTTTGTAGCTTGGTTTCTGCATATTTAATATTGTAACCAATCATAAGAACAAGATGGCTGCAAGCTGGTCATTGTTGAGTTTCACTGTTGAAGTTTAATGTTATCATCATTTCTCAGAAGCTCCAAGAGGAATCTAGCATTCTCTTGGTTTTTCTTAAACACATTTGACCCCTATGACTTTGAAATCGGGTCAAGGTAATTTATTTGAACAAAGTTTAGAGCACTTCACCACAAAGAGCTACAAATCAGATATCATAACTCTTGTACATTTTCTTTTGAAAAGATGTGACGTACTATTATACAAAATTAATAATAAAGATTTTAATGAATTTTCAGATTTTACTAATTTGGCTTACCCTGTTCTGTCTCATCTGTTACCCATTTTTTTGTATTCTATATCAGTCAATTAAATGTGTAGATATAAACAAGCAACACAACAAAAATGTAATTTTTTCCATAAGACTAGATTTGTTTTTATTTTGACATTTGAACAGAGCATATTTATCAATATTTAGAATGCAATAATATAATAAACATATGATATTGAACAAATTTCCATTTAAGAAACATTCACACTTTTATACAAATATATTGCACATGGTTGTAAATGATAAATCTCTATTTTATAGCACCACTGATGCCACATCTGGGACAAGTAATTTACTTTACTATAGCAACAAGGTATGTGTTTACTGTAGCCATAGCTACTAGCGTATACTGGGGTTAAGTCACAGGGACATAGCTACTAACGGTTGTGTCAGTAACCATAGCTACTGGGGTTTAGTCACAGAGACGTAGCTAATTAAGGTTGTGTCGGTAACTATAGCTACAGGGGTTTAGCCACAGGGACATAGCTACTTACGGTTGTGTCAGTAACCATAGCTACTGGGGTTTAGTCACAGGGACATAGCTACTTACAGTTGTGTCAGTAACCATAGCTACTGGGGTTTAGTCACAGGGACATAGCTACTTACAGTTGTGTCAGTAACCATAGTTACTGGGGAAGTGTTACAGTACCCATAGCTTCTCAAATTGTGTCGCAGTATCTAGTTCTAGTATCAATAGCTACTTGGGTTAAGTCACAAGGGCATAACTACTTAGGGTTGTGTCAGTTTCCATAGCTACCAGAGTGTAGTCACAGTCACCATAGCTATGGTAGGTTAGTCTGTCTCCATAGCTACTGTAGTTTAGTCACAATCTCCATAGCTACTGGGGTTAAGTCACAGTCTCCATAGCTACTGGGGTTTAGTCACAGTCTCCATAGCTTCTGGGGTTTAGTCACAGTCTCCATAGATTCTGGGGTTTAGACACAGTATTCATATAGCTATAGGGTCAAGCTATAAAGTTGATTCATGCCAAATTCAAATATAGAATATACTTTCATATCAGGTGAACTTATATAAACAGAAAACACAAAATCAATATCCAAAAAATAATCATTTCTGTTAAAATATCATAATTTAATACCTTTTTCCTGCTTGATTGGATTTGTAATGCAAAATTTCAAATGATTCAAAATGAAATAGTAATTTCTGGAACTGTGTCTTTGGTAATTGGTTAAAAAATACTAAAATATGCTTTTTAGTCAAATTTTCAAGATTTAATTTCCTTGAATTTCACTTTTCAATGTTAAAAAAAGGCTCACCTAATAAATCATATAAATGCAGGTTCCAAAAAAAAAATACCTACACTGAACACCAGTTGAGGACAACATTTCATACTCATCTCATGGTAATTAGTCCAGGAATTTCTATCACAAGAATTGTTTGTAAACCAACATGTATTTGCATGCATGCAATAATATTAGCTGAATTGTCTGAAGCAATGATTTGATAAATGGGATTAGCAATATAGATTAGTAAGTTAAACATTCTGTATTGATGCAAAAATAGCTTCATGTTCTCCAAAGACAAATATTTAGAGCCACATCTTTTCCATCTTTAACTCATTCACCCCTGAAATTTCTTTATGAACTATTCAAGCCTTTGAATTGGAAGAGCTCAAATGTGTCTTTAAAGGGTGAATGTCATTAAATTGAGGAAATGCATGTGTTTCTATAGCAACTGTCTTCCAACCAATCCGACTGAGGCCATTCACAAAGTGCAATCTGTCGTATATCCAACTCTGAGAATGTTAAAAAAAATAGGTATATATTTATGATTTATAGTGATATCTATATATAGCACTTCAAATGAGACACGCAGGGGGAATGCAACCAATCAGGAGTCAGTTCCATTTAAAGTCCTGTATCCATGTAATGGTAATAAAGTAAATCACATGATCTTTTTGACGGTTCGATAAGCTCACATGATCAAGTCTGAACGCCACCACTTGAAAAGCACATGTAGTAATGATGATGATGACGATGGAAAAGATGCTGATGAAGATGAAGATGATGATGATGGAAAAAGATAATGATGAAGATAATGATGATGAAAAAAGATGAAGATGACGATGACATCAAACATGATTTCATAGTGAAAATATTCAAGTCAATATCCACATGGAATCGAGATAAATGATGGCCATTTTATAAAGTTCCTTTGGTCCAAAATCGCTCACATCTTCACATACATGACAAAGGCTGCTTAAAATCCACAGTTCTTGTTGACACAGTTTAGAATTGTATCATACTGACTGTTTGATAAAAGTTCAATCTTTTACCGTTCTACAGAACATAAATGTGTTTTAAGTCCATCGTTAAAATCCCACTTTGATGGCGACATCTCATCAGACAAAACATGAGGTTTTAACGTTAACTCTGTAGTTACCAATAATATGATATTTGTCAGATCACATCACTGATCAAGCAATTTTGCCGGTATATCGTACCAGAAAATGTAATTTCTTAATCTGTGAATGCAGTTTAAGAATCCGAGGACCCAAAACAAATTCCTGTGATAACGTCTTTCCCAAAATCCATTAGAAACAGGAAGTGGCCTTAACGTGTCTGACAAACAGCTCATTTCAATTCATTGTACTTCCATAAGGCATGATCATGGTTTTCTTCAATCTTTTGAAGAATGTTCCACTGACTTGTGCCAACATTAGACTTTGTGATCTCTCCTCCAAAACACACAACATTCGTTCCTGACACCTGAATTCTTAAAAAATTGAAGATAATCTCTAATATGTTTGTTGAAACATTCAAATAAACAGAAGAAAGTGTTCGGATAACCAATGAAATCCTCTTCTGTTTAACCCGTACTTAAGATAACAATAGAAATCCCTATTAAGTCAACACTGTGTTTTCACACCGTAGCTTCAGCACTGATTTCTATGGTAGATAATCTGAGTCTATGAACCTCTTGTCTTAATCCATTTATCTCCTTCTGGCCAGTCTACAAAGACAAAATGAAAATTAATGCCCTAATTAACGAATGTACACATTGTAAATGTATGAGAATCATCATAATCATCTATAAGGTTTGGGCTCAATTGTAAGCAAAGGGAATAACTAAAAAAAATAAAAAAACTGAAAAATCAAATGATTTCACAGACTAATGAGTTTTATATATATGATAAAACTAAGTTTGATATCAAGTTAATTGCTTAAATTTCACTGAGGATGATCAAATGTGGATCAAAGCTAGCCCTTCCTGTACCCAGGGTCAAGCTTGAGAGTAAACTTGTTTCTTTAAGCAATAGCTCTCTTTGGGCTTCTCAATGAGAAAATACAGAAAAGCGCACTGGAAATGTGAAACTGTTAAAAAAAACTAAAACAAACTACTGATAGTGAGCATAGATATATAAATGGTTACTGTACACGTTTGGCCAAAAATAAATGCTAATATTTACCTTGTTTTGGCGAATTAAATCCGTTTTCTCATTTTTTAACTTTTGTACTTCTGTTTTAAGGAATTCTAGCTGCTGTCGGGTGGTATCACATCCTACAACAGAAGAGGTGTTAGAGGTATTATCAATGTGAATCTACTTTTATCTAAATAAAGTTAAAATTTAAAGGAGCTTCATAGTACGTATTTAAAATAAACAAGATCATGTTTTTACATAATCAGGATTAAAAATGGAAAATACTATATTCAAATCAATGTTTGAAAAATGTTTAATCACAATGTTTGAAAAATGTTAAATCAATGTGAAAAAACCATTTAGGTTTTGTATATTCAGGTTAAACCTATTTCTCACCTTGATCACAATCTGTGATAAAAACACATCCATCGTCATGGAAACTGTTAGACATGGAAGGTTTTGTGTAATTATTGGGTGTCCCTGCAGATGACATGCTCTCCTGTAAATGAAATTAATTTTAGTAAAACTCTTTTTAACAACAATATTTATTATTTGGTTTCCTATCTTTACATTTTGCTGATGAATATATTTTTTATTATCCATGCAGACAGAAGCTGATTGTGCCCTGGAACTGTATCTTTCACATTAGCTTAGACAGTCATTAAAATAAGATCAGCAACTTAAAAGAGTAGTTGAGTCAAGGTTACTTCATTTATATACAGTAAAACCCCCTTGTAATGCCACCCATTAAACCGCCAAACCCACATACCACCATTAATTTACTCAGAACAGATTTCCCCAATGTTAATGCACCTGTTGTAATGCCAAACCTGCATACCCCCATCTGTCATCATATTCCCAAAATAAATGGTTAAAATCACACTATTTTGACCTTGTTTAATACCGCCAATTTGAGTCGAGTACAGGTATATCCCGATGACAGGAATGTTACTGACGTGTGTACATTGTATTGTTACATGTGACTGCCGACTGACCAGGTAATCAGCTGTATGTTTTGCACACTCAACAATTTGATACATTAAATAACAATTTTGAAAAAATCTTATTCTGAAGTAAATTGTATTTTTTTCAAAGTATAAGATCAGTTGGTGTTTGAACACTTGGGTATAACAAAGTTTTTACTGTATACCTAAAAAGAATCAATATGAAGGGAAAAGCTTAATATGTATTTGTCATTTTTCATGCATATTCATGAGAGAAAAAAATCAGTTTTCCCGAGCCTTTTCTTTTTTTGTAAGAAATCAGAGAAATGGAATGATGGAATTACATACAACATTTACAAAGTTATTTTATGTGATTTTTATTCCTAAACATGTAAGTGTTTGTACATGCAAAAAAACCCACATGCAGAGTTGTAGCGCTCAGTGCAAGGTATGCTGGTGTATCTCAATATCCTGTGTGAAGTGTCAGAAGAACTTTTTAGAGTGCGTACATAATTTTTTTTTCAAAACATTACAAAATGCTAAAAGTGAACCCCTTTTAAAAAAAAATGAAATGCTTAGCAACCTTGACCCAACTGTGACACAACTAAAAGATGTCCTACCCGGACAAGTGCATTGTGGGTAGTCGGTGGCGCCCCCTGGTGACCTACCATGCCAGTGTCCGAGTCCTCGGGGTTACACATTTGTGGTGTAGTACTAAACTCCTCTATACTGTTGAAGGAACTTTCAGAGTTGGATGGTGATAATTGCAAACCATAGCTGATTCTGTAATATAGAAATGTTTTGGGGTTTTGTCATGTTTATTTTACTTTGAAGTTCAGTAGGCAGCGAAACATTCGTGTTGAACTTCAGACAGGGGTGTGAACACTTTAGCTACTGAATTAAATTGCATGATGGGTATTCTGGCCCTAATTAATTTTAAGACAAATGATTACATATCAAATAAGGTTGGAGGGAATATACTGAAGCTCCACAACACATCTTTGTATGATCTATAGCTGCAAAACAGATGACGTACGGTACCTAAATGATGTACTTATAACACTGAACTTCTGGGACATGGAAAGTAAGAGACTTACCTTGGAGCAGACGCTGTACTACTGGGACATGGACAGTAAGAGACTTACCTTGGAGCAGACGCTGTACTACTGGGACTAGATTGAGGACTGGAGGGGGCACTACACGTTTTGTAAGAGGACTGTGTACTTTGGCTGTCTATTCTCTGTACTCTGTAAAACACACACATTTAAGTTCACAATTTTTTTATTTGATAGCAGAAAAATAAGATAACATATATAAATTGAGCACAAATTTGATATTATTTTATAGTCAATGTCATTTCTTCATCATGCATACATCATCATCAATATTTATTTACTTTAAACATTAAAAGCTAATAAACTTGATGTAATGAATCTACAAAAATAACTTACAATTTTTCTTTGTGTTTCCGCTCAATACTTGATGAAAATTGTCGACTCAGTTTCTTGTTGGGTGATGGTGATTTTTTAGGCTGGAATAACAAACATTAAGTTTAAAACATTGCTTCTTTATATATAAATACTTTGGCCATTAACAGGTTATCAGTAGGATAAGTTGTGAAATTTATTTCATGAAAAAGTTTTAATATGGTGGGTCCATGAGAAGTTTTAATATGGTGGTCCATTAGAAGTTTTTAACATGTTTGGTCCATTAGAAGTTTTAACATGGTGGGACCATTAGAAGTTTTAACATGGTGGGACCATTAGAAGTTTTAACATGGTGGATCCATTATTAACATGGTGGGTCCATTAGAAGTTTGAGCATGGTGGGAATGATGTGGACTGACCTTGTCACAACACTTAAAGGTGACCATTTCGCTACTGTGTTTACTCACACTGGACGGTTTATCATCCTCACCGACGGTAGGTAGGAAGGTGCCATTCCGTCTCGCTGACAACGGGAGGTTGATGTCTGACTGGTTTCTACCTTTGGTACTTAACACACGTTTGAACGACTCGATGAATGTTTTACTCTCAGTTTTACAGCTGAGTACTGGGAGCATGCCGAACACTTCTATGTGTTTGCGTTGCAGTTCCTGGTGAAGGCATTCAAGTAACGCTGCTCTCGTACGCTCCTGCAATGATGAATGCCAAAAAAATGAAATACTTTCAGGTGACAAATTATTAAATCTCATAATTACTCCTGATATTATAAAACAGGATGGTCAAATAATTTCAAATATTTTCCAAACATAACTTTAATTGCTGACCTTTTGAAATTTCCATTGGGGGAGATTCTGCGTAAAAACATAAATAATATATACTGTGTACATATACTTTTTTTTAAGGTCAAAGTAACCCTTTAGAATGACATAATTTGAGTTATTTTTTCGATGAAATCAATAGATCTTCAAATATAGGAATAGTTTAGCAACTTCACTGGTTTGAAATACTGAATTTAAGGGCCCAAAATTGGGAGTCTCCCTCCAAAAAAGGGAGGGTTGGCAAGCCTGACATAAGCCCTTGAGAAAATGTCCGGTCAAAACACCTAAAACCTTCATGCCCTAAACTTACTCAAGTTTGATGCTGTTAAAAATCCTGCATTTAATTGTATGAATAATCACAAACACAAAGAATAAAATAAAAATGTTATCTCCAAGATATCTTACCTCTAATTTGGCAAACTTTTCACCTTTGTAGCATGCCATTTCAGCATTAACAAGCTTTGTCAGCAGGAAGTCTCTAAACTTTGGTCCCTGGAAAACATTTACAGAATTCTTAAAAACCAAGAAAATATTTGTTGTTTTGCTATATTTTTCTTCAATACAATTTAAACTCAGCACATACAAGTGCTGTTTATCCATTAATCCAAACAGGAATCTTTGACTTCCTGTTTTTTTAGTTTTTTTTTTTTAAATTTAGTACAAGGGCATGTCAACATAAGGTTTTCTAAATACAATAAAACCTTGTAATACTGCCATCATTTGTCTAGAGAAAATGTGGCGTTAAAAAGGGGTTTGGTGATAAATTGAGAGAAATATATAAAGGAATTCTTATGAAAATGAGATAAAGGGACATTGAAATAGGTTTGTGGTAAAGGAGAAGGCAATGAAACGAGGGGCAGTATATCGAGGTGTTACTGTAAAGAGTGACTTTGTACAATCTCTTATAAGAAACCTAGATTGTTGGATGTCGGTGGTTGGAGAGAAGGGGGGAGGGAGAGGAACAAATGGGAATCTCACCTTTTCAAACATTCCATCCTTTGGCAGTTTAGGTCCAAACTCCGGCACATCATCCCTTGCTGTAACAGACACCTGTAATCAAATAAACACAGGTGTTAAATCCATTGGTCAGGTAAATAAACAACTCCAGCTAGAGAGTTATCTACCTTGTAACAAGAGAGAGTGTTTGGAGGCTACGGAGGAGAAGTACGTACCTTGTAACGTGTATGTTGGGTCAATGGGTCTTTAATGGGTTGTATCACAATATACGAGTGTAAGAAATGTGAGGCGATGATGTTTGGCACAAATGGTGTGTTTTCTTCCTGGAAGATAATGGCGACGATGTCGTTGCCAATGTGACGTTTGCGCTGTAGCTGCTGTGGGTCGGCCTCCGTGAAGGGGAGAAGTGTCGACACGTGGAACATGATCTCCTTGTCTTCTAAATGTGTGTACACGGATGTCTCTCCTGTCTGACTGTGATGTGTGTCTAACCCTCCACGAAACCTAAACACACATAAACAAAATATTACAAATCTATTGATTTCTTTAAAAAACTTTGACAACTTATATTTCAAGAAATTTTATTCTTGTGAACTTGAATAAAAACATATCCATATAACATCTCTTATTAAAGTATATGAATATATTTTTATGACATATTTCAATTGTTAATCAATTTTAATGTGAAAATTTACTTCATTAATTTTGCTGAAAAAACCCCAACCAAATCCAAAAATTCTTCAACAGTATTTTCAACTTTGCAGACGTTTCCATCCAAGAAAAATATCTATCAATTATATAGCTAAATATTTGAATTAAAGAATAATTGTGCCCTACAATATCTCAATATTTACCAGTGCAAACAAGAAACACATCATATCATGTTCAATATAAATCTTTAGTCTAGAATTGTGTGAGAGTTACGCCCCTTTTCACATTTTACTCACCCTTTGAAATTCTTCAGGGCCACTCTGTCGCCTATCACACTGAGAAACTCCTCCATTGCCTTGCTGTGGGAAACATTCCCAAACAACGCCTCCTCTGTCGTCTTTAAAGCCAAATTTTACAGAAAAACAAATTATTTTCATCCAAGTAACTTTTGTTGCATGGTGACACTATAAAATGAGGTTCTAATTTATGTATGCTGGGACCCAAAGCTAGAAACCTGATTAAGATTCGACACATTTCCAAGCTGTTAACCTGCTGGATTATGACCACCAAAAAGTCACTTTTATGAAAATCGTATCTTAAATATAAGTAATCTGATTGACAATATTCTACCTGTAGCTCTCCAGGTAAGTTGTTTCACCTACAGTGTTTCACAGTAAGTTTTGTTTCATAGCTTTTGAAAAGAAATATTCCATGAATCTAACAAATTTCTTAAATAATTGTAGTAGCTGTATTGTACATTTACTTGCCCAAATTACATAACATTCAGAATTAATTCTTACCTGGCAAAATTAAAGATAATCTACTTTATTTTAGGAATCAAGTTTACCTGGACAGGAAACTGTTTTTTGTTTTGCACTTGTTTCGCCTTACCCAAATCACAGGTAACCAAGGAATATTCACCTAGACAAAACATTCATATAGGGCTCATAATTACCTGGCCGAACTTCTGGTAGATGATACCAAATTTGTAGGCGTTGGTAAGGTGATGTTCGTCGTACTGGACAATCATCTCCGAACCTTTTGTCGTCAGTACCGGGTGGAATTTGTCGACTGAGATCTCATCATTTACACACTGAAAAATAGGAGAGCATCACTTCAGTGACTCATACATGATGTAATTATACCTCTACTGAGTTTTCCCTCTATAAAAACAATACGACAAAATCTCTTTCCTAAAATCGCTTAAATCTCTCCATCTGAGGTCTACTCCCTCCCAAAAAATTGGACTACTCCCTTGAAGAAAGAGGACTACTCCCTAATGAATATTTATAGGTGGAGTTATAAAATTTTAACCAATGAAAACATTTGGTAGACAGGGTGTTCTCCATTATGCGGAGGAACTTTACATTTTTAGAACCGAATGACAACAGTGAAAACAGACGCCGACCATAAATTTGCTATTTCCCAAATTACCCATTCTGTAACTGTATACCAGTTCACGGCAAATTCATGTTTTTTGTAAAAGGTACGACCTAATAATGAGTGAGGTTACATTTAAGACTGATGTACTGGAGTTAAAGCAAACTGATAACTGGTGTCCAGGGGTGAAGCCCGAGTTAGGGTTGGAGTAGGGGGCTGGTTAGGGGTGAAGAAGCCCGAGGTAGGGTTGGAGTAGGGGGCTGGTTAGGGGTGAAGCCCGAGGTAGGGTTGGAAAAGGGGGCTGGTTTGCTAAGCCCCCAATAAGGTTTAGATTTTTAAGCTTGACAGGGTCAGAGAAGGTCAGTTAGCCATCGCATGATATCTAAAAACAATCTGTAGTAAGCCAGAAAACTGCCCCCCCCCCCTCCCCCGCACATGCAGGCTAAGGCCAAGTTACAAGCTTAAGTACACACTCCTCCATTATTGCTGATATGAGTGATACAGCATATAGGTAAAATGTTATTAAGTTTTCCTTCTATGTTTAATCATCATCCATTATCTATCATTACTTATATTAAACATTATTTTTCCACCCTAACAAAACAGTCACAAAAGTCTGATGAAGTAGTACTCCTTTGATGAAAAATATGATGACAAGGATATTGGGATCACTTCAGCAGATTAAGAAGTGTTATTTACCACAAATAACTTAGTTACTTTGATTGGGGTCAGTGGAGAGTTACCTACCTTCGCTACTTTGATTGGGTTTGGTATGGAATCCAACTGCTCTACAGGTATCAATTTATGTTGGGTAGCATATCGTGTTCTGAAAATCAATAAAAACCAAAATCAGTAACTAAAATGTAATAAAAATCATCAAAGTAAAAGATGAAGGTTTCCACTGTCAAACGTTACATCTCTCATGCAAGATTCCTTTATGAGTTGTACACAAACAGAACAAATAATATTTCATTTTGGTAATGTTGTACCTTCAAGAACAATTTTATTAGCGGGACTGTTTTGCCAATGGCATGTGGTTTAATCTTTTATACATATAGACATTTTGTCTTAACATTATTATTGGTTCTGAGTTCAGTACAGGCATGATTGATTTGTACAGCAAGATTTTTTTTATGAGGATTATTAATTGAATGAACTTATACTGAATTATAATTCCTATTTCTTAGTAAGAGAGCTTTCCGACTTGCACATCATGACTGAATTGGTTTGGAGCTCATAGGAATTACCTAAATGTATTTCTATAACACGGAAATAAAATGAAGTGGGTATGATTTTGCCGATCCTTGTTTCTGCATTCCCTACACAGTTTTAAACTAATGGAAATACATTTTTGACTTTTCACTTGAGAGAGACAGAGGTACCGGTATGTTTAAGTTCTGGTTTGTTCTCATTATACATAAAACTCCCATAAATCGAATTTCAAAGAAACACTACCGATATTCCATTTATGAACCAAACCATTATGAGATGAATTTCTCGCTGTTTCAAACTACAATCATTTTCCAAACATTAGGCCAACATTGCAAATTACAACTAATAAATTGAACTAAAACAGTTACATGTACCTGTACGAGGACATTAAAATGCCCTGGGATCAATTTAACATCTAAATTTGTATACTACAGTGTCCGAATTAACAAAACATATTTTTTTTATTACATTAAATCCAATATTTATATATTTCAAATGAATTTTTCTGTTTGTTTTTCGTCCCTTAACAATCACAGTCAGTCCTATACCGTGTATACTGGATCTCAAAGAAGCTCAACTTTCCTTAGTCAAAGTCTTGATGCTTCATTTTTTTACATAATCCCGCAAAGTTTGAATCATCAAAGTTTGACTAAACATAAAGCTCCAAAGGTACCGGGGAAGCTCATATTCAGGTGAACTTAAATCTTACTGCCAATAGAAGTTCATGTTCTAATGAATTCTAATTCAATTTCAAACACATTTATGTTTAGATTTACTTCCAATTTCAAGTTCAGGAGAATTTTGAGCAATTGTTATTTACTACAAAAGGTATCAAATGAACGTTTGACACCAAGTAATCAGCGATAGTCTGACGGTGTGACCAAATGTGACCAGACCACAAGCACAATGACAATGAATTAAGAATTTACAATATTACCTGATTATTGCCCGGACATATTCTTGTTCCGAGTTATATTCTTCCTTCATAGACAATATCATAGGACCTAGACTATCATCTTCTGTGTAGTAATTAAAGTGCTCCTGTAATAAAACAACACAATATATTAAAGTTGCTGGTACATTTAAATTTGTTGATGAAATGAAAATGTCCAAAGAGTCACTCCTGTTTACAAATCCAAGTAACCAGTACACTAGTGTAACAGGAGAGGAAAATGTACTGCCAGACTGGAGTTCGAACCCAGAACCTCCGAACTCTTGATGGATGATCTAACCAATTGAGCTACCTGGGTCATTGGGATCGACCCAGTCCAATTCTGCTACATTCTTTCCTCTTTTTTCAATGTTTCTGCCCCCCCCCCCCCCCCCCCCTCAAAGATAACATCATTTATATACCACTGTTACACTGCCAGACAGGAATTTGAACCCAGGACCTCTTAACTCTTGATGAATGATCTAACCAATTGAGATACCTGGTCGCTGCATGGAGAATGACCCAGTCTGGTTCCACTACATTCCTCCCTCCTTTTCTACATTTTTATACCCCAAGACAACCCATAGCACCACTGCAATAGTAGAGCAAAACTGCACGGCCAGACCAGGATTTGTCTCAGCGACTTCTAAACACTTAACGGATGCTTTAACCAATTTCAGCTACTTGGTCACCAACCATCAACAGTCTAGTTCCATAACACCAGAAAAGAACATACCCTCCACAGGAAAAGGTAAATACTGAAAAAAACTCACCCTTCCTAGGAAATATTGTCTGTAGCAGTGAGCTGTTTCATCGTATTCTATTCTACAGTCTACGGCACAATTGTTTATTCCGTTTTCTAGGCTCCGCCTGCTGTCGCATGTCTGGCAGCCCTCTATCCAGTAACCTCCATTGGAAGGTTGGAGAACCATGGGGTAGGGACCGGGCCTTTTTAAAACCTGCAGGTACAATGGGAAAATGACAAAAAACACTACAATATGAAAATAAAAACTTAATATATATTGTTATTTAGAAAATGAGAAAGTACCCTAGAAATTCATATTATCAGTACCTTTAAACAGACTACCTCATTGAATGTGTTTTCATTACAACGTAGGTCTCTTACATCAGGCTTAATTAAGAGACCACCGTTGTAATGAAAATACATTCAATGTTCCACTTTATTGTGATTTCATTGTGTACTTATCCTTAAGAGACCATCTTTTTTACTACCCAGGGATGGTCCCTTTGACTGTAATTTCTAATATACAAATAAAATAATTTTGAAATCTATATCAGATATTTATTGTGTTGATATTTTTACTATAAACTTGATTGGACAATCCTGACAAGACAGCGTAAACTGTTGTATATTTACATATAAAACTTAGATGCTTTTGTATCTTACCTCCTCCACTGTTTCAAAACTTTTCTTCAGTTCTGACGGCGTTACACTTGGAGAAATCTGAAATATTGACCGAAAGTTTGGTTACCATGGTGACACAATTAAATTTTTAATGGCTCCAAGTTTAACAATCGTAAAACATCTAAAAAAAGATACATCACTTCTACAATGGCTAACCTTCAACTTTTTCCCCAGAATGATGTTAAGAAGGACCTTGGAGTGACATATATACGAGACATTTTCATGAGTAAATAGCATCTTACAGTAGTGGGCACATCTGTGACACTTCGCCGAGATGAAGTGAGCCTCGATGGCACAAAGAACCTTGAATAGATGTAAACATGACACGTTTCTGTTCATGCTACAAGGTCACTTTGCAATACAACAGAATGTCAGTGACATCTGTGACAGTTCAAAGAGTCGACAATACCCATCAAAAATATACATACATCCTCAGCTCGATAAAATATACATTATTCATGGTCTTTGTCACTGTAAAAGCATTATATTTACTTAACAATAATAACCATATTTTCCAAAACAGAATTTTTGTTGTTTATAAATGTAAGTCATAGGGTAAATACCACCCTCAGACACAGTAACTGACTTCCATGTTTCACATCTTTCAAATCTTACAATGTAATACCCTCATTTACCAAAGATAATTCTGACTTAGTTTGAGTAATTTTCTGCTGAAAATGGATTAAATATACCCAAAAGTGTTATTTCCCTATATAAACTACAGTAAACTTTACCCCCTACCCAAGGAAGAACGGATAGCTTGAGGGTCCTGAAATTTACAATTTAAATAAAGCCCTTGATGATCTTTCTTTTTAAATTTCCCTCTGGGGCCCCGCCCTGGCTCCAGGTGTTCGAGTAGGAATACTAATTTTACAATTGTGTAGCCTCATCTACCAAGGATGATTCTGACCAAGTTTGAAAAAAATCCATCCACTGGTTCTTGAGAAGAAGTTGAAAATGTAAAAAGTTTACGCACGATGGACGGAAAGCGATTAGAAAAGGTCACTTGAGCAAAGTTCAGGTGACCTAAAAGTCTAGAAATATGGGCAGAAAATGGGAAGAAATTTGACAGAATGTTATAGATAACACTCAAACTACAGGAATGAAAATTTAGTTTGAGTTACCAAGAAAATCCACATTACAATGAAAATTATGTAAATATGAATCTATCTTTAAATTTTGCAGTATCATTTGATAATAAAATTATATTTAATAAATTAAGAACTGCATTAAAAACTATTGATGGTTAAGAGGTCAGCTTAACCCAGCTGGTGTATTTTTTTTTATATAATTTCCGACCTTTGACCTCCTATCAACTATACAGGTAATTTCTCAATGCGTATTAAGGATGATTTAAAGGAAAATAGACAAAAGAATAATTACGCCGTCACATCATCACAATAGTTTGGCTGTTTTAGGAACATAGCAAACATGATCTTCTAATCATGTCCTCCATCAAATCTATTTGTGGAGTCTCTTGGAGGTGGTTCCCACACAAAAAGGGGGAGATAACTCTAAAAATTGTTGATGTATAGTTGTAATCATCTAATTGTGACCATAGTCATGTAAGGTATAAGTTATAGAAATATGACGTATTGATTTTGGACATGAGGTATTAGTTTATGTAGACAAACTTGTTATTTATGTGATAATTGCCATCAATAAACTACCATCTATTCCAACCCTTTTTCCCATGTCAGTCACGAACAACGATAAACATAACAAAATTTTGTGACAGAAGCATAAATTCTATCGCAGTGATAAGAAAATAAAAAATAAATAGAGGGAAAAAACCAGCAGGGAGTGCCATCAAATACGAAAAAAGGAAATTCACCCATCACAATTATCAAAACCTGCTCAACTAGTAACAGGAAGCACATTTAGGTAAATACTTTTTTGATAAAGCATTGATTTTTCTTCTCTAATTAGCTATACAGATTCTAACTGTAAACAAAATCTCTAAAAAAAGGCTGAGGTCTTTGGGTTGCAGGTTTACTTCAGGTTAAAAGTGCTCTCCACCTGGGTCTCGTTTCCATCATTTAATTGATGATGGGAAACTAAAAATAAATGACCATTACCAATGTTGACATGCACTATTTACAAAATCATGCTCTCAATACAACACAAATACCAAATTGAGCAAACATCTTATACTGGTCCACAGTATTACTACAACAGATACATGCATATCCTCATCCAACATTAGACAAAGGTAATAGATATCAATTAAAATAAATAGAAATTATTTCAATTTTATACAGATGATCTATAAGATTTATGTTTGGTAGTTTCTGTGGCAGCCATGGAAATGAGAAATGAGTAACAAATTTATGAATATACATGTAGTACAAATGTACATAGACAATATCAATAATTTTTTCTTCTGTTCTGAAAGCCTTCAAAAGTTTTAATCAAGTAAAGAAAAAGACCTAGATAATGAAGTATAGAGTAACCCCATCCATTGAAGAGAGATATTCAAAGGTTTCTGTTACGGTCTACCTTTCTAAAGTGTCGGAACAAAAAAGATCTACTTTTGTTAAGAATGTTTAAGATAGAATTCTGGATAGTACAGGTTCATTCAGTCCAGTTTACACAGGTTATGTATTATTCAGGTTTTGGTTTACAGAAGTCATACTTATAAATGGCATTAACTCTTTGCCTGCTGCGGCGATAATCCTCATTAATGCTGATTGTACCATTTGACACTGTCAGCAGCAGATACTGCCTCACTGAGATCAACAGTATAAGTACTTTTGTTTTCTAAATAAATGCAGATAGGATCAATTCCAGTAATTTCTGTGGCTTGTTTCCGGTAGAATCCAGACGGAAATCACATAACACCAGTTTATAGCTGTTTCAAAATGGAAATTTTACCGATTTCTGACGGGATTTTATGCGGCGCGTATTAGCACACAATGGGTAACCAGCGACTTTATTCAGCTAGAAATAAGAATGAAAACGTTACATGACTCACAGAGAAATTTAAAGTGAAAGAATTAACTTATTCAAAATTGATTATGCCAAGTAGAGTTTCGAAACAGAAGTTTTAAACTAGAAATTAAAATCATGAAATTCTTTAAAATTCTTCGGTTGCTGGATATACAAAATGTAGAGGAGTTCATTACATTATGCAGAACGCAGAGAGTTAAAATTGAACACTGAGAGTTTTAACTCTATACTATAATGTAGTGTAATTGTTATATCAAGAAGATATGTATGATCGTCGGCCAACCTTCTACACTAAACATGAAGTACGTTTTGTCATTCACTTTTATGAGATTTACAAAGATCTAAAAAAAAATCTTGAAAATAAGCTTGTATAAACTAATGAAGAAAGTTCAAATGCCAAATTATTCATTCAGAGTTAATGAATCGATCTATGAATAGCTCTATGAATAGCTCTATGAATACATCTATGATCATGAATTCCCTCTGTACTAAAGCCATTTTGATCTCTGTGGAGTATGACAAATAGACAGATAGATAGATTATTTTGGCAGACTTTTCTGCATAATTGTTACCAGCACAGAAAGAAACCTGTTACACACAACACAGCTACTGACAAAAGCAAGAAACTACATGATATTGTCAGGACCACCAGGATATAAAAAAAATATTTTCTTAAAACAATATTAACCTCTTTTCAGAAAATATCATAAATAATTTCCAAGATTTATAAAATTATAAAAACCAATTAACTGTTTGTTACATTTTACCTAAGGACAGTCTTTAGAAATCTTTAGTAGTCAACTTCCTTTTCTTGTAACAAAACAATTTGTTAAAAATATAACAACATTTACACTACGACACCGAAAATTCTTCTTTTTTCCATTTTGACCCTGACAATGACAGAACTAGCAGCGACCTACATCAAAAAGCTAGCGGTGACCTAGTTAAGTGTGTAAGCAAACCTTAGGTGTAGTAGGCATGGCACATCGCTGGTCCTCATAGCGACGACTTTGGTATTTGAGTAGCAACTCGAAAAAATCTGGACCCTACAGCAAAATATAGAAGCAGGCCATGTGATGCAAAAGCTCGTAAATGATGGCCACATCTGTCAAATTGTAGCTAATAGAATATACTCTACAAGGAACATTTTGACTTTTCTGTGTATTTTCTAGATGGTGCCTACTTTCAATTTTCTATTTTAGAAGAATTAAATTTAAATCAACAATAAGCGAGGGTATATTGCCTCAGATTGATGTGCCATATAACGATGTGTTTTGGCTAGAGTGCATATCGTGTGTACTTTAGGTAATTTTCATTACGAGATGTCGGAATATATTACAAATTAGCTCTGACTGCTCATCCTCAGCAGATACTGCTAGTCATTTACAAACAGTAGAGTTTCAAATTTTTAAACGAACAACTGAAATGTTTTCTCCAGGAAACTTAAGATATTTGTTTTTACTTCACTTTATATGAAACCAAAATGTTAAATACATAATCTGAAGTGTAAAACAGCAATGAAAGCAGTACTGCTACAAATGATTCTTTTGAGCATGTTTGTATCAAAATCAGATTATCAAAGTGGCTGGTCTTGTGCTACCATAAATGGGCATGAAGTCCTATATAATGACAATAACATGAAGGTATTTAGTGTGAGGTATATAAAATTAACAGGGAAGTGACATGCTGTGTGGGTTTCCGAGCCCATGTATCTTCTACCTGTGGTGGTGTGTTAAAAATGTGTATAAAAATGGCTACTACCACCACACTTTACCAGTGATAAGACCGGAAGCGTTTAAAAACTTTTTTGAAACAATTAAAATGTCCCAGCACTGTCATTATCTCCAACATAGAAGAGTTCCAATTTTTTCCTAAATTTCTGCCTAACCATTTACTTTGGCCAATTAGTTAAACATGTATACGGAAAAAATATGTTTATTTCAATTTCTTTTCTTACAAAAGAAATCGTGACATGCATTACTTGTAGCGGAGGAAGTTTATCCCCTAGGCTACCAAGTCTGGTATTTGTTTTGTTAGAAATGTTCCTGCTACATTACTGAGAATTTCAGAATGTTCAAACTTCTTGTAAGGACAACAGTATGCATATACCTGGGAAATTTTCTTTGTACACACACAAATTTAACCGGAAAAAACTTGTCAATGTCTGTATAGTGTAGGAAAGTGATGGGACTCTCTACCTTTAGACACTATTAACCCTATATAAAATAGCTGTGTTTGTTAGATTGACAACCATCTATGATCTATAAAGGTTTCCTAACAATGGGTGGGCGTAACAGGGAGCCATGGGCTTATCACTGGTAACGCATGCCAAATACTGTCAATGCATGTTAGGGAGCAGTCAGCTATTATCCAGATCGTCTGCTATTGCAGCATTATCTACAGTGAAGTAAAACCAGAGTTTACGGAGACCTGACGTTTGTGATCCTGTAAATATAGACTTAGATATTTCTTTTACTGTCATATCTGACCTCAGGATTCCGTCCCAGTTGTTGTCAGTAAATTAAGGTTTTACGGTGCATTTTTGATGATTGGATACCTGTGCAATCAGAGTGATGTCTAGCACATTAACTAGTATTCATAAATGCTACTTTTCCTTTTTAGAAAGTTAAAGTCATTTAATGTACAAAAGCTATTCTTGCTTTCTATGGAGGCTACAATGAGGTCAGGAATATTTTTTCTACTTTGGCCCCAGCTCTTATACAAAAACAACACAAGTTTATTGTAAGACCCCATAAAGCAATCAATAAGAATCTACGATAAGTCATGGTTTTATTCACTTATTTGACTTTTGTGTTCGAAATGAATTTCATTAATAGAAAAAAAACTCATATGTCTCCTAACAAAATACATTTAACACCGATCAATTCTCAAATTATTGGTTCCGCTAGATTTTATCAAAGCAAGTTCTAGAGATGTTTTGATGTCTGCAGAAAGACATATATCTTCAATCACTGCACGAGACATCTCGATATTAGTGCATACATTCCACCGCTGCTTGTTTATAATCCAACACCAAAACATGTTTACTTCCTTGTATAGATCTAGCGATCACTTAAGTCATGCAAATTGAAACTCGGCCCAGACTCGCTAAATTTAGTTGAACGGTGGACATGTTCTTCCCATCATTAATCCTTAACATGTAAATCCAAACAAAATAGGCAATTTTGAGAAATGTTCAGACAGTTAATTCTTTATGAAGCAGTTAGGGTTTCCATGCGCTCAGAAAAGTATGTTTTTACAGTTACCCATAATGCATTGCAGTCGTATATGCCAGTCATTATACCATTGAAAACATCAGATCTAGTGCAAATGCTTGTTTACGTAGAGACATTTTATTTCAAAGCTCCACCCCTCTAAAATACTTTGGATGGACCTAATTGAGAGATGTGGTCCAGTCCATTACGGATATTTAGGGGGATGTCTGGCCAATAATTACCCGACTCCTCCATACATAACAATATCATCTTTATCTTGGTCAGATAAATCAGCAGATATGGGTTATATGCATGAAGCTATTAGTAAAATGCATTCCCCCTCAAGCAAGCAGAATCATATTACAAAACCCGAGTTTCCTAGAACATGCAATGTATCTACAATTACCTTTTTAAAGGTTGGCATGTTGCATCTTTGGTCGTCGATGCGGCCTCGCTCCTGCGTCCGTACCAGCATCTCAAACAACGCCTGAGTAGACTATAAACAAAGAAACATAAAAAAAAATCATTTAGGAATCATTTAGTAATTATTCTTGTTATTTGTCATAATTAACTTGCAGATAACTTCAAGGCATCATCTGCAAATGAAGGAAAAAATTATCTAGAAAGAAAAAAAGGTGATTTCTGTTGAAAAGAACAGTGAATTATTTAGTAGCGACAACAAGGTAAGCGAAGCCTCTTTCTCACTTACTCTTACAGCAAGCCTCAAAAATATGTATGTACAAGACATCCTGAAGTTTGGATTAGATAATCAATATGATGATCGATGTTCTGATGATAAATTACCATTATGTACGTATATTGGCAGTGCTGGCATGAAAATGTCTTTTCCTCAAATTTTATTACTACAATAATGTATTACAATACTCAAAACATTTACATGGTGAAAAATGCAACCTCTGCTGCTAAGATTTATTGTACAAAAACTATATTCGGAGTACTTATAACCTTATTACGCACACAATTTGTATAAATTTTCTTAAGTTACAGTATTTAACCTGAGATAAGCCCATGTCTGGTAATAAGCCCACACATGTCAAATATCGTTTAGCGGAAATGACAACAAATACTTTTTAATTGTCCTGCAATAATACCAACCCTTAAATCAAATCAAAGTTGCTATGTTGCCTTTCTAGTGCAAATAGGGTATACAATAGAAACCTGTATCATTTTATTTGTATTTTGGCAATTAGCAGAAACGTTCACATGGAAAAGTGATCAACATGGAAAAGTGATCAACGTAAATACTTGTCCTTAATACTTCTTATATGCAGAGTTTGTTTTCTAATTTCTTGTTGGATAAGTATAAAATATCTTGGTTTCCAATCTGAAAGGGGAGATAATCAGTTGTACTAGATAATGTGAATCTATTAAGCTATTTGGTATGATGGCAAATTGCATCTAATTTCAGGAATTGTATCAATATCTTTAATATGAAAACCCAGCAAAGTGCTACATCCAGTCGGAGCCCGATGTAAAATTACAATACCCTAACAGATTGGGCGGTCGACTTGCATTGATCCGACGCATAAGTGGTAGAATGCACAAGCAGACACCAGGTTAACATAGCAACGCCTGTTAAGATTTTAAGTGCACTGCACCGAAAGTCTGGCAGAAATGTCCTTCTGTCTTTCATGAAAATAGGTAGGTAGCATGTGAAAAATTGCTTAAAATATCGAAAATATCAATCGTATATATGATATTTCAACCCCTTATGTTTAACACCACCATATAGTACCTTATTGGGTTTTGTTTTCGTTAAAATCCCATCTGATGATAGTTTTGTAAAACATAGACCAGGACCATGAGATTTCTATGCATGGACACAAAATGAGTCTACTTTATAAAAGAGGTGAAGTAGGACCGTGTCTGTGTTTACTGTTAATACGAAGATAATGTTGGCCATACTGCAAGATCAACATTAACTCATTCACCCCTGAAATTTTATAACTAGCTATTCCAACCTTTGAATTGGAAGAGTTCAATTGTGTCATCAAGGGTGAATGAGTTAAATTGCAACTTGTAATATTTATTTTTTATTCAAAGAATCTTATTCTTTGGAATGTACTTTTCATTGATGTACCTAAAATAGCACCAATGCTGTCCTTTTATCACTTATAACTATTCCAGTTTCTGAGATTGTTTAATGAACCTTGAACATGAAATGTTTTTTTAATTTAGCCTAAAAAAGTTTGATTCTGAGGGAATTATTTACAGGTATACACAAATTTTCATTGACTTTTTACCTGAAAATTTTAAAGAGCGATACTGCCTACTTTCAACAAAACTGTCTTACGTGACACCAACCAAGACTGGATCCAAAACAAAAGTATAAAGGTAATTATAACAGATTGAAGTAATTGTTGATTGAAGCCTGTTCTGATCAGTACAACCCAACAAGGATGACATGATTTCGACCAATTGGTTAAGCTGTAATCTTGTAAAGTTGTCAGGATGTTACAAGGATATTTACCCCCTACAGAGAAAGTAAATCGCCAAGACTCAACCAGAGGTTTGAAAAGCATTTGATTGATTATACGCAGTATATTATTACATGTACTCCTACCATCCAAGGGTAAAGCTGGGGATAAGGGATGTTGATATACAGGCAATCACTGTCACTACGAGACACTCTGATACAAGAATTTTCTAATTTCTTTTTGAAAGAGATACCTACGTTTTCATCATTATCTGGACTGATCGGAGGGGTGGACTTTGTCTGCGGAACATGGGACTCGCAGTATAACTGGCCGTCCATGGTTTGTTTTCTGGAAAATATAAACAAAACAAACAGGTTAGTCATATTTCATGTCAACCTCACAACCGTATGAATACAACGGACAACATGTAATGACAATTTCTAAAATGAGGACATCTAATTTAATAGAAAAACATGTTTTTGTTTTGTTTTTGCACAGTAGTACCAGTACTATATGTTGTTCAATTTCATCAATTTTCAAGAGAATCCTTTCTCACTGGATATATAAGTATGACTAACATATTTAACCCATCTTCCCCTAAAGTCACATTTGAATCTTACCAAATCAAAGACTGAGCAAGTCCAGTTTAAATATGTAGGAATGAATGAGTTGAAACAAGTCCTCTAACAGAAAATATTTCCTCTGCATCCATTCACCTCTGTGATGAATCCCTCAGCATCCATTCACCTCTGTGATGAATGCCTTTCTCTATTATGTTACATAGTGTCTATGATTCAGCCACAGTAAGCGAGATTTAATTTCGAGCTACATCTGACCACACACCCCCTTCCTGCCTGTCCCTTCCTGTATTAAACTTTGTCCTCATCCACCTTGCTCCGTTTGCATCTTTATGACGAAAAGGATTGTTTACAAATCCTGGAGAGAAATTTGATTAGGTGAGTCAAATCGTACCACGATGCCTGTCTCCAGACTGTATTATTGTATACGGGCTGTTACATCATCGGATGAGATTAGCTATCAAGGTGTGGGAGGTTTTATTGACAACCGCGTAATGACACGATTTGTCACTGATAAACCCATTTTTTGTACAGTGATGTTTTGTCTCGGGGAAACTCATTCAGTAAATATAAAAATGCTGTGTGTATGCATAGCATACCGGTCCAATTACACATCTCATAACAAGTCAGCTCTAGGATATATATCTTTTGTTTCTGTATGGGTTCACAGCCCATCGTCAATTCAAGTCATGTAGGACTAAAAAACACGGTTAAAGTAGATGTTCATAAAAACGACTACATCAAACAAATGAAATTAAGATTAAAAGGGAAAAGATACAAAAGGCATCCATTGCAAAAAAAAACAGTTGTACCAGGTATCATGTATTATGCACTAAGGTAAAGATCAACTGGATGTAAATGTAGTCGCCATTTTCTGACAACCGAATTCTGTGAAGATGATAATATATAAAAAAAAAATCAGGACACTACATGTAATTATATATGTAGGAGAAATTGTGTATAGTTAATCATTACATTACTAACAACTACCCATAATGTCACATAACATGATTATGGAATTTGTATTGAATGATTCATTTTGTCCAAATTATTGCATAATTATGAAACAAAACTGACATTTCTGACAGTTATCAATGAACATAACCTACCAGCCCCCACTAGTATGTAAAAAGGGTCTCGACACAAACTCAAATTTAATGAAGATTTCCAACATTTAAACAATTTAAACACAAGTAACAGGAATGTTTCTATTTTTGACAATGGTATACTCAAATCGATGCTCAAAACACTGACTAGTTTTTAGAGGAATGGTACCCTACCAGTAAGAAGACTGGGTCTATCATTTACATCACCATACCCATTCCTTATATCTCTGTAATACAAATTTTACGAATCGCTACTATTTATGTAAATAAATCAAAGATAAAATTAGTCTGAATATGTCTAATACCAAGTCTGAACCCTTTTCTAAGGACTATAGACTCCCAGGATTATCAGGTTATTTACGGTATGGTGAACAGGAAGGAACTTAAGGCCAATCATTATCATATTCACTTACGGTAAAAAGCAATATCCTACTTTATCCGTGTCCTCACTACGAAACCAAAAGTCATAACAAAGGTAAACATATTCTTGTGTATAAATTACATATATCATGTAGATAAACTGACATTTCTTTCTCAGCCATAAGGACATTTCTTCCTGTGCTATTCATTATAACTGGTACAGTTTGTCTTTTAATGTCGTATAACATTACACAAAATCTTGTAATCTCGCTTTCAGGCCTGACTCAGGTTCTACATAGACAGGATTGCAATTTTGTTTTTGCATCATGAAGGTCAACAAACTAATTAACTATCCGTCTATATTTACCTGATTTTGAAGGAGAGTTTTCGAAGTTTCGACACAGCAGACATTTTGGAAAGTGAAGAAAAATCCACGATTGATGTTTCACTAGTGTAACCTCCAAAAGAGCATTTTTTAATTTTTACTCCCGAGTTGAAAGTTGAACTTGATCATTAAAGTATGATACACAATTATACTTATAATCCTTGGGTTAAACACATTTTAAATCCCAAACTTCCTGCTACTATTTCCATTTGACACAATTTAAAGATCCAACTTCCAATGAAGATAATTTTATCTTGAACTCAACTGTATCATCCTAAATAAATCCATCTTGTGGTTTAGAATTATTTAAATCCTTGTAAGCAAACACACAACTGACCTTGAAAGTTAGAAAAACTGAAAATTGACCAAGCTATGTATACTATAGCCGGGAGAGATATCATTGATCCATATACAGCGCTAAAGACAACCTGCCTCTGTGCTGGCCAATTAAACATTGATTCATAAAATACATACAGCTGATGGGATCTCATAGATCCTGTTTATCAGGAGGTGGTTAAAGAAACCATCCCTGTCTCCCTAACAGTCCGTCACAGGAAAAGGTGGTACAGACACTGGAGTGTTTAAATACTCGCACTGTTGCTCATCGCTGACATTTGAATTATAAATACTGCCGTGATAAATTTACTTAAAATATGTTTCCATTCACATTCGTAACATAATACTTCTTAAGACAAAATTTTCAACTTGAGGATGTTTAAAAATCCTCTTTTTTATGTGTTGGCACATTTAAAATGACTCAAGCAAACTGATATTTCTTCTTCAACTAGAGAGACTAAGTCCTGTATACACAATCCTGCCACAAATTTCATTCATGAATAGCCAGTCTTCCGATACAATCTCTCAACTTTCTTACAAATTCTACGTTTTTTTGCTTTTAGATGTGTTTCCGTGTAAATGAAGTAATCTTGATACCAGAATGAGATCCTCACAATTTCAGCTAAATTATGTATGTTGAGATATACTTTTCAGGAATATAAATGGCCCCAGCTGACGAAGTAAATAATACGGAATCATGTAATGAAGGTCAAATGTATTACGTCAACCACAAATTCAACAAAATCCTGCCGTTTTTTATGCAGACGTTGAAATGAAATGCCTGAACCAATGACAATGTAACACCTAGGAGAAACAGACCATGTAATGGAAGGTCGTAAAGGTGGTGGTTTAATCCGTCATAATTTACATGTTTTCTATTCTTGCTGTATCAGTTAGTGATGTTTGTGTTTTTGTGGGTATAACTGACAAGCTGACGTATAGGGCTAGAAACGTGTGACTCCCAGATAGATTACCCACTAAAATAGCTACACCTCTAGATAAACAGTAGTATGTGTATTGGACCGCCTACCTGTTTGGGGCACCATATCTTAACTCTCTCATTTATCTACAATTAAACATTTGTATTCATTGATATGTTTACAAAAGACTGTTTCATTGACGGCAGCGTGAAGAAGTAACACTTAAGGTAGAGAGTCCAAGTGCTCTCTTTGATATCTCCACAGTGAAGAGTTCCATTTTGTGGGACATTTTTCAGATGTGAAGTTGCTTACTCATTCATAATAAATAACATTGAGTTCACGAAAACACCTTCGCCATGGGAATTTGATTCTCGAACCTCTTGAAATCAGTGAGCTTATCCACCAACCTACCAATCATGATGTTTGTATATTCATGCTTTTCTGCAATATTATAGGTACTTGGAATAATGTCAAAATGCTCCTACTACCTAAAAAAGACCCGTAACCTTAACCGTCTTTGTATGAATATAGAAGAGCAGCATAAATTTAACAGGAAAATTACTTTTCGTAGCCTGGAAGCAGTAGAAAAGTGGTGAGATCCCCTTCCTAAATGTTGTCATGAACCGTTACCTAATGTCCTCCCTATATAACTGTAAAACTTTGATAATATGCCACTCTCTTATTCATCACCTCACTAATACCACCAATGTCCCATAATCCTTTCCCTTATAAACCAAATTGTTTTCCTCTAATATGTCTCCCCCCAAAATATCACCAAACTCCTTTATAATGCCAGAATTTGGCTGGACAAAATGGTTCATTTTCCTTACAAAACTTGGTTTTTCTCTATGTTGATCTCCCCCAACATATCACCAAACATCTTTACAGTGCCTCCCCCCAACATATCACCAAACACCTTTACAGTGCCTCCCCCAACATATAACCAAACACCTTTACAGTGCCTCCCCAACATATAACCAAACACCTTTACAGTGCCTCCCCCAAAATATCACCAAACACCTTTACAGTGCCTCCCCCACATATCACCAAACACCTTTACAGTGCCACCCCCAACATATCACCAAACTCCTTTACAGTGCCTCCCCCAACATATCTCCAAACACCTTTACAGTGCCTCCCCAACATATCCCCAAACCCCTTTACAGTGCCCCCCCAACATATCCCCAAACACCTTTACAGTGCCTCCCCAACATATCACCAAACACCTTTACAGTGCCTCCCCCCAATATATCACCAAACACCTTTACAGTGCCTCCCCCCAACATATCACCAAACACCTTTACAGTGCCTCCCCAACATAACACCAAACACCTTTACAGAGCCTCCCCCCAACATATCACCAAACACCTTTACAGGGCCCCCCCCAACATATCACCAAACACCTTCTCAGTGCCTCCCCAACATATCACCAAACACATTTACAGTGCCTCCCCCCACATATCACCAAACACCTTCACAGTGCCTCCCCAACATATCACCAAAAACCTTTACAGTGCCTCCCCCCAACATATCCCCAAACACCTTTACAGTGCCACCCCCAACATATCACCAAACACCTTTACAGTGCCTCCCCCAACATATCACCAAACACCTTCACAGTGCCTCCCCAACATATCACCAAACTCCTTTACAGTGCCTCCCC